ATCTTTAAGAGCCTGACTCGGCTCTTTTCTGTCTCCTTAGAGTCTCACGAGGCGCAGGCCTTCAGGGAGTCTGGAGCCTGTTAACTATAGCGGCTCTATGTCTTTGGCTACTGATGCCGCTGCCTCTGCTATTTCTGGTTTTCTTTCAACTAATCAATTTTTCTTCTTCTTTTTTTTTTTTTTGTGGTTTTGGTTGTAGGTCAATTTTTGTCTCTTCCTGCTTCTGTTTCTGAGAAGTACATTAGATGGTCTTAATATAAAGATGAATTAATGGTTTCAATTATAAATTCTATTTTTACTTTCAGAGTCAGGTTGGGTTTGTCTGATTTCATGTATTGTAAATATGTGGAGACTCATTTTCTTTGAAGGTGAAAAAGGCAAAGATGTGACAGGAGATATTCAAAACTACATAGTAGGGGAGATATGTAAGAAACCCTGTAAATAACCAGGTGTATGGCCCCAAAATCAGGAGGCTGAGACATAAGGACTGCTGAGTGTGACGCCAGCCTGGGCTACCTAGTGAGTATTAGGATGAACTACATAATGAGACTTTGTAACACATGGTGATGGTCCCATGAAGGGCTTTGACCTTGCAGATTAAATCTTACGATATGAGATTCTGAAAAGAAATCCTTCTCTGCCTCTCTCCTTCCCTCCCTCATTTGCCATTGTCCTGTGAATGCCCTGCTCCTGAGATTCTCTGCACAGGCATGGTGAATGACAGGAGTGATGCTGCTGAGACTCTGGCCCCTTTGTCCCTTGTGGTGCTTTCAGACAGTGGACATTTGCGTTTGGCCAGTGGGAAGTGTGCTGCCACTTCAAAGGGACGGACCTGCACCCTGCACTCAAAGGCCTGTTTTGTGCTAAGCTAGGACCCAGTGGCCGGAAAGGCACTGTGCTCAGTGGGATGCTTATGATGCAGAGGGAAACAGTTGGTGTTTCCAGCTGACGCATGGATCCAGTCACTTGCTGCTGGGTTTGTGCAGAAGCAGCAGGTACAGACAATGAGATGCTTGTTTCACTTCCTGAAAACACTCCTGGGGAAAACCTAGGAGAATAAATACCGTGTGTGTTCCACTGTGACTCAGCTGCTGGAGCTCCTATCCCTGGTGATGTCACAGTTTATCAAAGTCCCAGTCATGTGAATAGGCTCTGGGTTGGCTTTTGGCAGGGCAGGGGACACAGGGGTTGGCTTTCTTTGTGTAATATTTTTACTTCATGCCTAGAAAATGATAATATTAATTTCTACCGTGTGTAGTTCAGGCCAGCCTTGAACTTACTATGCAAGTCAGGTTGGTCTGGGATGAACATGTGGCAATCCTTCTGCTTCAGCTTCCCAGTGTTAGGATTACAGGCATGTGCCACCACACCTGACTACCTTGGGATATTTTTATGAAGGTCATGCTGCTAAATATATGGTATACTCAGGATATACCATGCATTCAGTAAATGTCCCTGGTCAGACACTTCCTGGTTGTTCCATGGTAGAGCTGGTTATTCATAAATCATCAGCGGTGTTAATTCTGTGGTTTCTATCTATAAATCTGACTTTTCAGCCAGCTTTTAGTTTTCTTAGAAAATGGAAACGTTTTTCGCAGAATTAGAGGCCTTCATAAAATGCTGTTATTTTGCTACTTGCACTTTTGTGATCATCCACAGTTCTGCTATAAATTTGGCCTTAGACATCTCCAGCTGTTACAGCCTTTCAAAGATAGAAATTCATTTTCTCACAGTTCTGGAGACCAGAGTCCAAGATCTCTGGTGCCATAGGGTTGCTTTCTGTTGAGGCTCTTTTTTTTTTTTTTTTTTTTAAATCGGTACCAGGGATCGAACTCACGACCACACGCTTGCAAGGCAGGCACTTATGCCGCTGAGCTAAATCCCCAGCCCCTGAGGCTGTGTCTTTGGCTTGCAGATAGCCACTGTCTTGTGTCCTCCCTGACCTTTCCTCAGGGTATGCCCATCCCTGGCCTCTTCTTGAGAGGACAACAGGCCTCTTAGGCTTGGGCCCTACACTTATGTCCTCTTTTAGCCACAGTTCCCTCCAAAAGCCCTTTCTTCTCCATGGTCACCTTGAGTGTGAGGGCTTCTGCATGGGAATTTTGGGGAGCCCCTCAGACCCTACCACAGTTCCCTTTCCTCTGTCTGGGTTTGGCAGGGCTGTAGCAGATGAGAAATCCCACTGCAGCACTGAATAAATTTGTACTTTTCATCATCCTGTCTCTGTGGTAGGTGGCAAAGTCTTACTTTCTTAGCACTTGTCTGTCTGCAATGCCAGGCAGACATACTTAGGAGAAGGAGTGTCACTCAGAGAGAATTCACAGTCCAGCAGCTTACCAGCAGGGTGGATTCTACTTCCAATTCCATTTCCTTTTTTAGAGCTATTTTCAGATGCATGACTTCATGTAATTTGAAAAACTCTGCTCTTGTGTAGGTTCCCAACTGTAGTGTGTGACATACGTTGACTGACTTTCCTTTTTAGTCCTGTGAGGTCGTGAATGTACCACCGGCTTGCATTGATTTATGGTATTTGAGAAGCACATCATGAGATTTCCCTGCAGAGGAAATTATAGCTTGGAAAATTTCCCTATCATTTGGCAGCTTCTGAAGGAAATGGACAGTAGGGTGGAAAAGTTTCATCACACTGGTTGCCTCTGCGTGGAGAGGCTCACTGCTCGCTCTGACATTGGGGAGTGGGTGGGCTATAATAAAATCTCACTGTGACTCCGCAGGAGATTCGTGTGTTTATTCCCTCTCTCAAGGTGTGGGTGTGGTTTTGTTATAGAATTATCTTATCATGAGCCCCTTCCCAGTGGACAGAATTGTTATTCAGAGTAGAAGTCTAGGTTTTTGATGTCTCTAGTCTTAATTGTGACCTGCTACTGAGATGGGGCCTGATTTTATTGTGTTATTCAGTTATCAGCTGAAAACCTCTTTGCAGGAATAAACAGTTGTGTTAGGCCTGTGGGCTTTCCTGGAAGGATAATGACAACTAGACTGGGCACCCTCTAAATGCAAGCACAGAGTAGTTTAGTGCCCAGTCCTGGGCCTGAGGACTATACAAACTGTGAACAGTTAAGTGTTGCTGCTCGTGGAAGGCACTGCACATGCCAAGGGGGGTTCACGGGAAGGTTCACGGGAAGGTTTGCCCTTCACTGGATGCATGAGCTTGTGCAGGTGTTTAAGCCTCCCTCAGTCTTGGTGACAGATCAGTGTGACAGTGCTGGAACAGGAGCAAGCTGCAGAGGTGAGGCCTCTGCCGTCTCTTGCTCTTCCTGTTCTTCCAACTTTGTTTGTTCTCAGTAAGTGAAGATTATAAGAGCACAGAACAGATAACTGTAGGTCAATAAAAGTGTTCCTGTTCAGTTGATCCTGGTTTGTTTGCTGCTCTGAGGCACTGGTTTTAGAGTGGTGAATAAAGCCAAGCCCTACAAAGAAGGCCGCAGAGTCCCAGGGAATAGGGCCTGGAGCCCAAGGGCCTGCGCGTGGTTATGCACTTCCACTGAGCTGCAGGACACCGCAGGTGTGTCCTCATGACCAACACCCCTGCCATCTGGGGCCCCAAGGTACAGGCAGGGACACTTGAGCAGAGGCAGGTGACCAGATGTCACCTAAGCCTTTTCAGCCTGCCATATGTCACTGCCATTTCAGTGAGGCCATGCAAGGTTTGGAAGCCTAGAGTTGTGGTGTGGAGACTGGAATTGTTTGGCTTCAGTTTTCTGATACTGGGGATCCAACCCAGAGCACTCAACCATGGGGCCATACCCCTAGATCCTTCATTTTGAGACAGGACCTCCCTCCTCCCTAAGTTGCCCAGGTGGGACTCAAACTTGAAATCCTCCTGCCTCAGCCTTCTCTTTGAGTCCTCCTGTACTCCGCCCCCTCCAAAAAAAGAAATGAATAATTCGGTGTCCTGTTTGGAACTTGGGCTGGATGGGATCTGCCAGATACATACTTGCTTCTTCTTTTTTTTTTTTTTTTTTTGGTACTGGGGATCGAACTCATGACTGCATGCTTGCAAGGCAGGTGCTTATGCCGCTGAGCTAAATTCTCAGCCCTCTTTGTTTTTTGAGACAAGGTCTCGCCATGCAGTTCAGGCTGGCCTTGAGCTCACTTTGTAGCCCAGGCTGGTCTTGAATTTATGACAATCCTCCTGCCTCAGCCTCCCAAGTGCTAGAATACTTGCCTTTTCTTGTCTGGCCTGTGCTTGCTTCCGGCCAGTGGCTCTGCAGCACGTATGCTGTGTGCTGGGCCTGTCTCTGGGATGGGCATGGTCCCCATGTGAAGTGCACATTATCCCGTCATCCAGAGGACAAGCCTGAGAGGCCTCTGGAGAAGTAACACAGGTGGCTAAAATGACCAAGCACTTTGCTAACGGTGCTGCTTGATGCCTCAGTAATGTGGCAACTCCTTTTTAGTTGCACTTAAAAGAAATTAACTTCTGTGTGATGTATTTTTGTGTTTTTATTTAATTTTATTCTTTCTTCTGTGTGCTTTTCAACATGCCCCAGGAAACCGCTTTTCACAGGTTTTGAAGTGGCAGTGCTGTAAACAATCTGCAGTATCCATTTGCAAAACTGTGCGTTCCTGAGGCTGTTCTGTGGGGTTCGAAGATGCATGGTACAAGTGTCAGCATCCCACCCAGCCAGCAGCACCTGTGTGACCCTGGCCTGCAGTCACTCTCAGGGGACCCTTGTTGTCACAGTTGTTTGGTTCCAGGACAGCTATTTAATACCAGTGCTTCTGTGCACTAGTGCGGTGGGCAGGACAGTCACAGAGCAGTCCCCGTCCTGTCAGCTGCCCCAGCTGGTGGCAGTGGGAGCGGTGCTCGAAAATCTCCTTGCTGCAGTTTGGGGAGACCATGGGTGCAGGGGAGGCACCTGCTTTCTTCTGGCAAGTTATTGCTCTGGGTGTGACAACCCCTGATGTTCAAGTATCACAGACACAAGACAGGAATTACTTTCAGTTTTTAATCTCTGCATCTTTCTGTTCTAATTCAGGTGCAACATTAGAGGAAATAAACCAGCACTGGGACTGGCTGGAGCAGAATCTCCTCCACACTTTGTCTGTCTTTGACAATAAAGATGACATTGCCAGTTTTGTCAAAGGAAAAGTAAAGGTGAGTCCCTGATTTTAAAATTTTGTCATTTTTTTTTCTGGTAACTCCCTTAGGACTCTCAAACACTGCATATATTAAGTTGTTTCCTCTATAACTCCATTTTTTAGCTGACTGCCTAAAGCCAAATGAGTTCACCTTGTCATCTGTCACACTTCAGAGAGTCAAGTCCTGAAAACATGCCTGAAATTCAGTCAAAAAGACTTCATGAGGTTCAGTTTCTATAATCTTTTATAGACATGTAGACCTTTTGTTTCATCGTGTGGAAACCAAACCAAACCAAACGAACCCCCTCGCCGCAATGTTAAGATTTTAGAACAACATATTACTTGACTCCTTAAGTTAGTTCTTCTCAGCTTCTTTTTTTTTTTTTTGCAGCTGTGACATTTGTCATCATTGTGTTGGACTTAGCACTTTTCTCTTGCTCATCATGGGTGTTTACCCTTAAAATATGTTCACTAAATGGAACTAAAGCCAGTGAAGTTTAGAGAAGGCAGAGAGGATGATTGGGGACATATGTGTTGGTACCTCCTGTGTGTCCTCATATAACTGGTCTCCTTGCACTAACAGGTTGGGTAATCAGTGCTTTAAAAAAGTAGAGACAGTTTCTTACTTTAAACTTAACTCTGTCATTACACACTTGAACTCATTAGCCTGAGGCATGGTTTTGCTCTGTTGAGGTAAAACATCCTGAACCTTGGATTTTATTTCTTTACAAAAAGCGTGGCATTCTGATACCTCAAGGATGATGGTTTTGGTTAAGGATATGAGAGCAGAATTCTCAGTTTGGAGGAACAAGGTAGAAATGCTGATTCCTGAAGCCTGACGAAGCCACCTCAGTCCAGCTGGCTAGCAGCTCTTGCGCTGCTCCCGCGTGCTGGTCCGATTCAGCACAATGGCGTTGGTGAGGGGTTGGCTCTGGCGCCTCCTCCCCCTGGCTTTCACACTCAGTGCTTCTTTCCTGGTATCACATGGGTCACTGTAAAGTTTTGATCTAGGTATTTCTGTTCACTGGGGGAAAAGGAGATTGATTTCTGCCACAAAGGCTTCAAAAATGCTTCTGTAGGAGATAAAAATTTTTCTTCTAGCCTTCTGGATTCTGTGGCTGGCGCCGTGAAAATCAACCTGCTGGAAGACAGGCTAACAAGCAAAAATAAACAGGCTGATGCAGGCAGGCAGGCAGGAAGCACGCACAGAAATGCTGCAGTAACCAGTTCCCAGAGTGATCAGAATGTGGCCTTCCAGGGTCCACGGAGGAACAGCAGGTGTGCAGAGGAGAGACATGAAACAAAAAGGGGTGTAGGCTTTTGGGGTCACGGGCTGAGGGAGAAGGAAGCATGTGGGGAAAGTAATGGAAGATGTGGACTGTTTTCATAAGGCTTAAGTGAATTCTTTGCAGTGGCATCTCTGGTGATGAAGAATTCCATCCTGGGCTGGGGATGTGGCTCAGGGGGTAGAACCCTTGCCTAGCACATGCAGGGCCCTGAGTTCAGGTCTTTACCACCACCATTTAAAAAAGAAATTGAATGTTCTCTTCCAGTGAAACAGTTAATTCTATACAAACCAAACTCATAGCCTCACAAAGTCAAAGATCGAAATTGTGGGCAAAAGAAGAGAGTTAGGAGGGTATTTATTGGAAATGAGAAGAGGACTAGCTCCTGTCTCCAGGAGGGCATACTGGACAGAGGTCCTAATGGTCTCCTCTGACCCACTCCTATGTGAATAGGCAGAGTACAGGAAAAGCTCACCTGAAAGAAGACAGGTTAGAGGAAGCCAGTTTTTTTTGTCTCTAATGCTCCCTAAAGTCCACTCTGAGGTAGACAGGAACTGTCCACTGACTTAGCAGGATCTTTTTTGTGTTTTCTTTTTCTTTGAGACAAGGTCTTGCTGTGTAGTTCACTGTGGCCTTGAACTCACTATGTAGCTTTCAGGGTGATCCTCCTGCCTCAGCCCAAGTGCCAGGATTACAGGTGTGTGTCACCATGCCTGGTGATTCTTCTCAGGAGAAAAGGTCCTTATCTTCTCCCTTATCAAACATTCACCCTTTTTCTTGGGAGGTGAGTTAGCTCAGTGTGTGCTGTTTGCTGGTACCAAGCTGACTCTATTTTAGGCTATGGTGACTGCACATTTACCAGCTAAATAACCAACCCACTGCACCAACACTGAAAGTCCCTGAAGAGACGGAGACTGGGTCCTGGATGTAGGGAGGGGGAAGACAGAGTCTTTTTGGTGTCTTCAGCTCAAAATCTTTATGCCAGAGTGGCATCTTTTGAGGTGACAAATTCTGATCTTTGATGCTGCAAGCTGAAGTCCCCGACGAAGCAGGTCTGGGGAGGAGGGTGCCTGGAACACAACCTGGCCTTGTTGGCGTCTGTCTCACTGCTCTGGCCATGTTCCAAGGTGACAGATAGCTAACCATGCTGTGGTACGGTGCAGATTCCTTGGGTGCCTGCTGCCACCTGTACTGGCCACCTCTCCTCTGCCCCACATAAGGTCCTCTTCTCTCTGCCACAGGCCCTGATTGCTGAGGAGTCCAGCAGCCGACTGGCTGAGCAGGAGGAGGAGCCCGAGAAGTTCCGGGAGGCCCTGGTGAAGTTTGTGGCCAGGTTCAACTTCCCCGAGGCAGAGAAGCTGGTCACCTACTACTCTTGCTGCTGCTGGAAGGGCCGGGTGCCACGCCAGGGCTGGCTGTACCTCAGCATCAACCATCTCTGCTTCTACTCCTTCTTCCTGGGCAAAGAACGTGAGTGAGGTTCTGCCCTGACCCCTGGGATCCCCACAAACATAGGTGGCCCTGGGGCTGCTCCCGCAAAGGCCATTAGCATCCAAGCCACACAGCACAAGGTTAAAAAAGTGATCAGGGTAGTAGGTGATACCTGGTTAATTTCCAGATCCCTTATGCAGATAATTACCTGTAATTCAGTGCGCTACTCTTAGAGGGTTTGATTTGGGGAGAACTGCTTTTCTCTACTGCCTTAAAATTTTTCTGTTGCTCACTCCAAATAGCTATGGAGAGCCAGGCATGGTGGCACATCCCAGTCTTCTGGAGGTTAAGGCAGGAAGACTGCTTTGTGTTTGAGGCCAGCCTGGGCTCCACAGTGAGTTCAGGGCAAGATCAAATTACATAGTGAGACCCGTCTCAAAACCAAACCAAACCAAATCCAGCAAACAAAACAAATGGCTCTGGGGAGGTTCTTACTACCACTGGTAGCCTTGGAGACACAGTGTCCCTACTGGTGGCTGAACAGCTCTGAGGAGAATGTCTTCCCGCAGGAAGGCATTTAAGAAGTGCCCCGTTTTGGTGGTCATGACTGCTGGATGCACAGCTGCTTCCAGAAAGGGTACTCTTTGTGGGCCCACTGGAGATTCTGGCTCTGGTTGATATCACATGTCATTATCTGGCCACGGGTCCTGTCGCAGGCAGTGGGGTTCCCAGGTGAAAAAGGAGAGCTGCAGAGTCAGGAGTATGGTAGATGCTGAGGCGCCCGGAGAAACTAAGTGCTTCCAGAGCTAGTCACTGCTTCTGTCACCTGAATCGGGTGGCACCCTTGCTACATGTGTGTATGCATGTGTATATACATGTGCATGTATACATGTGAGTATATACATGTGTGTGTAGTTTTGGGGTTTTTTTATTTTTGGGACAGGGTCTCACTGTGCAGTTTAGGCTGGCCTTGAGCTCCCTTCGTAGCCCAGGCTGGTCTCAAACTTGCAAGGATCCTCCTGCCTTACCCTTCCGAGTGTGTACCACCACACCCACCAAGTCTTTTCTTCATTTATGTTTCAAATGGATCCACAGCAGGGGCTCCTTTTGAACTGTCACTGCGACTGGCTCCTTCCGCCAGTGTTCCTCGCCCACTCATTGTGGCATGGCCCATGCCCCTCTTGGGGTGTGCTCTGGCCTCACCTGGGCGTTGTTGGTGTCGTTTCTGAAGCTCCTCTGAATGAACCTGCCGCTTTCCCTTCTTTCCTTTTCCTTAGCCTATCTGGAACTCCCACTCCCTTCTGGAATCCCGTGGGGGTTAGTTACCCCTGGCCGGCCCCCAGGCCTTCGAGGTGGCACCATGTGGATGGTTCCTGTGTGTTTTCCTGTCTCACCGAGCAGCTGTTCTCTGGGGGGGTAGGAGACATTGAAGACATCGTGTGAGAACATCTAGATTCTCAAGGCTGCTATGAAAATGGGGCCTTGGAAAGCCATTGAAGCCCAAAAAACAGTATCCCCAAATAAATGGAAAGAAACAGTAGACATGTAACAGTCTTTCTCTGTACAGTCTGAAGAGGAATTATTTTCTGATACTTATTAATGATTGTCATTAATAGCTATATTAGGATGATATTTTGGAAGAAGTGAACACCTCTCAGAATGGGATGAAGTTATGTCTGTGATAAACCCAGTCAGAGCTAAGACTGTTTTCCCTTTGCTCTGTCTCTGTCAGTAGTTACTATTGCATCAAAAACACTTGATGGTAGAACACCTGTTTTATTTGTAATGTATTGCATTTTACAAAAAGAGATAGGGTCTCACTGTTTTGCCCAGGGTGGCTCTGTACTCCTGGGCTCCAGCATCCTCTTGCTTCAGCCTTCTGAGTAGCAGGGATTACAAGTGTGTGCACTGTGCCCAGCAATACTGCATTACTTCAGAACATTTGGGAAAACTACTTATACTGTCTTCTTGGCCTAAACCTGTCATCTAATGGTTTGGGTTCAGCGCATTTCTGACAATGAGATCATAAATAAGTCTCTCACACTCCTTTTTCCTCTAGCCTGTGCCATGAATGCTGTTTTCAAAACCAGAATTTGTTGTGGACTGAGAAACTTTCGCGTCGCTGTTTAAATATCTTTGGGAGGGTTTGTGTGCTGTTGGCATGTTATTCCAGAATGACATTCCTTGGGAATGTGCCACAGCCAGCACCTAGGAGGTATCACTTAAATCACTGAGGGAATCACTGGGACATGAAATTGGGGTTCACCAGCTGCTGTCAAGCAGCTTGTTCCGTTTAAGGAACGCTCTGGACTGCTGCTTGCTGATGCACACAGGAAGGCTCAATCTTGTAAACTACATTAGCCCTTCTCCTCTTGCAGTTAGACTTGTCATCCCTTGGGTTGACATCCAGAAATTGGAAAGAACGTCCAATGTCTTCCTCACGGACACCATCCGGATCACCACGCAGAATAAGGAGCGCGACTTCTCCATGTTTCTCAACCTGGACGAGGTGTTCAGGATCATGGAGCAGCTGGCGGACGTGACACTCCGGAGGCTGCTGGACAATGAGGTCTTTGACGTGGACCCCGATCTGCAGGAGCCGAGCCAGATCACCAAGAGGTAGAGCTTGAGTTCCATGGTGTCCTTCGTCTGTGTTAGGGCTCGGCCTTCGTTCCCAGAATCTCTGTGGATACACAAGTCCAGGGATGCTCAGTGAATATCCTCCCCTAAGCTTTAAAAAATCATCTCCGGGTGACTGACAGTGCCTCCCACCATGCAAATATCATGCAAGTAGTATAACTATACTGTACTGTTCAGGGAATAATGACAAGAAGAGAAAGACTGCATGTTTAATGCACTTTTTTTTTTAATATTTCCTATTTGAATTTAAGGACATAGACTCTATGCACAGAGGACCAAAGATACTAGGTTTAATTTCTTTTGTAATATAACCTAACTTTTCCTATGTTGTTAATCTCAACAGAGGCATCAGTTAGAAGTGATTTCTTATATGTAACAGGCTTTGATTCAGTTTCCTAGATATAATTTCAAAATTGATGTTGTTAAAGGGTAATTCTAGAACATGTACTACTGGTATCCTCATGATAGAAATCTACGAGGTGCTGTGTTTTGTTAGTGAACACAGTACGTCAGTATTCTTTATAATTTGTTTGACTCAAAGTGGAGCTGGTCACACACACTTGTGAAACAGCTGCTGAAATCCTCATCTTCAGGGAGATTTATTCTGTCTCTGAAGTTCTAAAGATGGTGTCTGGGCTTCAGTTTGACTTCAGGGTTGTAGATGACATCTAGGTAACCACAGCCCTACTTCAAAGATACCTCTCCAAACAGGTTATCGGCAAGTGCTGCCCTGCTCAGGTGTTTCTAATGTAACTGGACTCAACCACTCCTACATGACTACAATAGTCATTGCAGAAAAGTGTTTTTTACTGTAAAATGCAGGTAGCAAGCATTTCGTCAGCATAACCATTTTTAAGCATACAGTCACAGTGCCATGCAGTACACTCACACTGCTGTACAGCCATCCTCACTGCCCATCTCAGAACTCTTCTCATCCTGCATCGCTGAGATTACACCTGCTTCCACCTGACGACTCCCCTCTCCCGCTCTGCCCACTCTGTGCCGGTTCACCATGCTACATGGCTTAGGTCTCTTCCGGAAGGGGGGTTCCTACAGTATTTGCTGTCATGCATTTGGCTGATTTCACCCAGTGTCACGTTCTCAAGGCTCCCCCATGGCATATATCACTGTCTGCATATTCCCTGTTTTATTTATCGGCTGATCCTGTGTGGATGCACACTTGGGTGGCCTCCACCTTCTGGCTACTATGCATACCGCTGCGGTGAGTGTGGGTGTGCACGTTCATCTGAGACCTTGCTCTATGCTATGCTCATGAGTGTCCGCCTAGAGGTGGGATTGCTGGGTCATATGGCAATGCTGTTTTCAGGTTTTAAAGAACTACTAGTCATTTACGTTAACATCTTGAAGCTGTTTTAACATTCTGTCTGCCTCCTTTTCCACTGCATTTCCTTGGGAAATTTCCAGGAGATGAGTAAGAAGTAGCTAGTGTGCTTCTGCTGCTTTTGGAGCAGCGGAGTACCTCGACATGATCATAAGTCCCCGGTGTGGCCGTCAGTGGCATCTCATACTTCTGCGTTTTAGTCTCCTATACACAGGGCCTGAAACTTACTATGCAGCCCAGGCTGGCCTCAAACTTGTAGTAGTCCTCTTGCCTCAGCCTCCTGAGCGCTGGGATCACAGGCATTTGCCACCATGCCCAGCTTCTAAGAATTTTGGGGAAGGGATTCCTAACTCCTTCAAAGGTCTGCGGTCTAGTGTTCAGCAATAATACAAAGGCTTTTAAAAAATAACACATTACTCCTCGCACATGTTCTGTCTTCTTGAACATCTCTGGGAACGTGTGTCTTCCTGAGCAGACACACGCCACAGGGTGTTTAATTTCCTTGCATTCAGAACCTTCTTGCTGTATGCATCATTTTAGAGTGATCACACATCTTCCCAGGGAAGGTTGAAAATCAAAACAGCTGCTCCTCTGTGGAGGATTCCCACAAGTTTTATGTGGTTCGGTAATCTTTGGCAATGTGTAAATTCCGTTTTGAGACAGCCTTATCCCAGAGGATGCCTGGGCTGGTACTTTGGTTTTCTGTCCCCTCACTCAAGTACCTCAGTGCCAGGGCCCCCAGCATGGTCTCTGGCTCCATCTTAGGGACATTTATTCTGAAAGGAAGACACACCAGCGTGGTGTGAGCCACATACTCCTGACTTCTTTATGTGTCATTATGACAGTTGGCGTCCAAAAGTCTTTTTAGTCCAGTTTACAAAGATCTGTTAAAGAAAGCAAAAGCCACCATCAACAGAGCCCTGAAGAATTTCTGGGTGTCTTGGGTTGGAGTCATTGAAGTGCTCATGGAAGCCTCTAGGTCAAAGGTGACCTCTGTACTGGGCAGCGCACTGCTGCACCTGTATGTGGCCTGGGCGGGGCCGGAGGCACGGGCAGCCTCAGGGGTGCTGGGACTCCAGGCTCCGATCTCAGGCCATGTGGCTGTTTTGCTTCTTGGTAGAGGTGAGGAAAGAGGGAGACTGAAAGTCTGCAGCACCTAATCCTCTCTGGAAATGTGTTTTGGAAGAAAAACCATCATCTGTGTTGGCAGTCTTTGTTTACCTTCCACAGTTGAGGGGAGATCTGAGGCCACCCCACCCGCACCCCGCATTCTACCCTGGGGACCATGAGAAGAGAGAAAGTGACCGATGTGGCCACTGAGGTGGCAGTGGTCCAGCTTCCAAGGGTGCCCCGGGTGGGATCTGGACACACAGTGGGACCTGGTCCCTGTGGTCCAGGCATCATGCCTCGGCTTCCACCCGAGGACAGCCTCCCCAGCCCACACCCTGTAAGTTGTCAGCTTGGCCTCTGCCATGGAGATGCTGGCCTGCGTGTGTAAACAGGTAATGACTCAGGCCGCCTGGCATCCTGCCAGAGGGGCCAGGTTTGGAAGTTTAAGAAAACAGCTCTCTGAGCTTAGGGGCTACAGCTGTGCTGGAATCCCCACAGGGGTCTCTGTGGGGGGTCTGCTTTCACTTCCTGTCCCAGCTGCAGCTGCCAAAGGGTGTCCTTGGGTTCCTGAGCCACCGGTCACCTCTGTGCTGTGCTCACCTAAGTGGGATTGATGGGGCTGGATAGTGGGAGAGGTGTGATGGTCCCTTGTCACCCTGACAGGACCAGTTGGGAGGTGTCAGAGCTTGGGACCCATCTGGTCTGGTGCTCAGGTATACAGCATACTTGGACAGGCCAAGTGACCGGGGGCAGGAGGTGCTCCCCAGGCGGAGAATGGAGGAGAGGACTGAAATGACTGATTTCCAAACCGAAAATGCTCTTCCGAAGCTGGGGAGGGCGGCTGAGGGCAGCACACCCAACATTCAGTGTAGGCAGGAACAGAGATGGGCTTCACCTAGTGGGAAGCAAAGGGAAACTGTGTCCCAAGATCCCAGCTTCTGCCCTTACGGAAAGGTGAGCAGTGGCTTCCAGGAGACAGAGGACCTCAACTGTGAGCCCTGTCCCTGTCACCTGCGCGACTCTTAAACTTGCCCTTCTGCTGGCTTTGCAGACTCCATTGACCTTCCCCACCCAGGCCCACCCTGCCCCCTTTCCAGCAGCAGAAGGGCCTCTCAGCCCCCTCAGAGCCCGCACTGGTCAGAGACTGCGGGTGTTCAGGTGTTGACACTGGATGGGACAGTTAGGAAGGGACAGAGGCAGGAACCCCTTCTTGGCTGTGAAAGCCACTGCTCATGTGTTATCAAGCTCCTGCTTTCCAGGGGTGTCAGTGCAGACAGACTGCAAGAAAGAGGGGCTGTGAGTACCTCCAAGTCCATTTTCACATGGCCACGAGGTGGGCCTCGTGTCCTGTCCTGTCTTGTCCTGTGAATGCTCCTGGCTCCTGTGTGTTCTGTGCCAGCAACCTCATGGCCAGGCCATCCTGTCATTTCCTTAGGGCCCCCAGGTCACAGGGAAAGATGTTTGGAGTCAGCACACATTTGATAAATGAGATGTTTACGTGCACATTAGGGCTCTGAGGAAACACACTTCTTTCCAGACTGGTGATTCTTGGCATTTCCCAGAGCCAAAGTGCAAAGGGCTGAGAGTGGCCATGTGACCGAGAGTTGCTGGAAGGACCCTCTATGCATGCTCCACTGCCGGGCAGGCTGGCTGCAGAGGTCCAGTTCATCCACCCTCAGCCCCCAGGGGCAGGAGCTGTGGCTGTGGGGTCCTGTCCAGTGCCCACATGGAAATCCTGACCAAGGGAGCTGACTGGGGAAGAGGAGGGTACATGGCTGCATGAGTTGATTTCAGTTTCAACAACAGTTTGCTGCTCCATGTTTGGGCCCAGCCCATTTCTTCCTTCCCCTTAGAGCCTCCCAGAGTGAGTGTTAAGACAGGGAGTTAGTTAAGATAGGCACTGGGCACTGTAGGTCCCAGCCGTAGCTCTCTTGGAGCAGTGGTCTGTCCATGCCGGCCTCTCCTGGGCCAGACTCCTGAGATGACATGCCTTCTGAATATCAGGTCGTGCCACAGTCTGCCAGTCTTGTTTACGGAGGGAAAGCGGAGCCTCTGGTAGGCCTGGAAGCTCCGAGAGGCACACCTGGGGTAGTGGGCTTTACTCCTGATGCTGCTGAAGGAGTTGGTAGGTTTAGCATCAAAACCACTACCTGCTGCCATGAAATGCACCCCTAGGGCGCTCTTAATTCTGATCTTTCTGAAGAGTTGGTTTCTCCTCTCCCAGGTCACTCAGTTTTACACCTCAGTTGTGCTGGCAATTTAAATATGGCTATCACACATGCATGGGGGAATAAGAAGACAGCTTTCTAGCAGGGAGGAGAGAAAATTACTCTGGTTCTAAAGTCCTTTCTGCTGCTTTCTCTTCTTGTGAATGAAGTTTCTTGTTGCTGGCTACCAGATATGCCCAGGAAGGAGAATGGCAATGGCAGGCTGGGGTTTATCAGCTGTTTGGAAGCCACTGAGCTGCATGCACATTGGGTAGACAACTCGCTGTTCTTAGAGACTGCAGCCCCTTATTCTTAATTTGAGGGCTTCGGTACAAAGTAAATGTAAGTCTTTCTGCCCTTCCTGGAACTCAGTGCCAGGTGCTTGGTTTCTTGTCCTTTCACTTTGGCTTTGACCGGCTCTTGCAGGGAAGGGAAGGTGTTCCTGGAAGGAACGAGGGAACTCACTGGTGCCAAAGCCCTGTTTGTAAAGCACTCTGTGGAGTAAACTTACCTTTCATCAAAGCCAATGTGGCCAGCATGATTTTGGGATGAAGATGTCAGTTTTCTGTATTATTCATTTATTTATTATTTAAACATTTTAACGGATATTTATTTATTATTATTTATTATTAAGCATTATTAAACATTTTAACTGATAAAAAATAATTACACGTGTGAATGGGGTATGATATGGCCTCTTGCTACTTGTATACATTATATTTAGATTTTTAAATTGGGTCAAATAGCCTTACTGAAACATTTATTTATCTTTTAAGGTGGAAAATCTCAAGCATTCAAGCATTCCCATCTCATAGCTCACAGTACATGACTGATACCTGTAGTTACCCTTGGGGCCAGGGATATAGCTCAGCACCTCAAGTGAGTTCAATCTCCAGTACCAACAAACAAACAGGTCCTACAGCAGCACCCTAAAACTTCCCTCTAACTTAATGCCCATCAATCAGTCTTTCTCTGCCCACCTCTCAACTTCCCAGGCTGCTGGTAACCGCCATTCACCTTTCAGCTGCAGCAAGATTCTTTTTAAGATTTAAACTTGGGCAGCTGGCTCGAGGAGGAATTTGGGATCACCCTGAGGGGCCTAACCTTCCATTCTTGGCACCCTTTAAGGAGGCTGCAGGGTTGATCTCTGGTCTCCTGGTGCCCCCTGGTGGAAGTGTAGACTTTTTGTTTTTTGGTATTTCATGCATATGCAGAGTAATTCACCCATAAAGGTATCATATTCATAGAACTGTGTACCCTTTTCTCTTACTCTTCTCCTCGCTTGCTTTGCCCAGGGATCTGGAATGCATGCACAGAATGAGTTCTGTACAGTTTCGTAACATGTTTTATTCCCCCAAAGAGAGCCATGTTCCTAAGCAGTCATGCCTCATTCTGTCTCCCTCAACCCCCAACAGTTGCTGCTCTGTGTTGGCCTCCGTAGGCTGCCTCTTCTAGAGTTCACACAAAGGGAACCAGATATTATGTGTCTTCTTTCTCTTAGCATCACACATTGCTACTTTCTTCTTCTTTTATATGGATACATTTTTATGGATATCATCTCTTCTACAGAGATATGCAACATTTTTTTCCATCAGCTGATGATGATTTGTAGTTTCTACATTTCAGTTATCACGAACAAAGTTGCTACAAATATTTGTGTGCAAGTTTGTGAGTAGAGTTCTCCATTTCCTTGGGTATGTAAAGTAGAAGTAGAGGTTCTGTGTCAGATGGTGAGTCTGTTTTGTTTTTTTTTTTTTCATTTAACCTCTCAAGATGTTGCCAGCCTATTCCCCATACAGCTCCCACTTTACATTTCCTCCAGGAGGGTGTGAGGGTCCTGACTGCCCCCAATCCTCACCACCACTTATTATTATCTGAATTTCTTTAAAAAAAATTTTTTTTAACACCAACTTCACTTATTAGAAAAGGAAGTTATGAAATATCCTATCTTTCCTTGAGAAATTAAAAGACAGAATAAAACCAAAAACAAATAAAAAATAATAAAGCTCAAAAAACACAATCCCTTATCCAACTGCCAACATCATTCTTCATAAAGATTAACATTTTGATTCTTAGAGTTCTGTAAAAAAGGACTCAGAGTAGTCTAAACAACTTTGATAAAGGAACAAAATTAGAACTCCAGTCCTCCCCAATCCCATGACTTATCACAAAGTTACATCAATCATGACAAAATGGCATTGATATCAAGATAAACCACCAAAGTACCAATATAAAGTCCCAAAATAGGTACTCATATAACAGACTAGTGATTTCTGACCAAGATGTAAAAAAGCAATTGGGTGGAGAAAAAACTGTACCCTCAATAAATATACTGGAACAACTAGATATCCATATAAAACCCATACCTTATAGCACATCAGAAATTTCTTAAGGCATCCAAAAGCCAACTCAAAATGGCTCACAGTGGGTTAAAGTAAAGGCAGGCGTGGCCTGAGCTACTGTTGGCTGAAGTCATTCTTTTTGGGCCAAAATACATGTTTTTCCTTTCAGCTTGTCACACTAATGAAACAATATGATATTTATATATGTGTGACATGATTATTTCACTAATAAGTGTGTTTCCAAGGTGTGTCCATTTACCTATAAAAATGTCCAGTTTATAATTCTTTATGACTGAATAGTATTCCATTATACAGAAATACCACATCTTTTTTATCCATTCCTCAGTTGATAGGCATTAGGTTGTTTCCAAGATCTGGCTATTATAAACTGTACCTCTATAAACATGGGTGCACATATACCGCTGTGCTATGATGGTTTTAATTCTTTTAAGAATTTATGATGGTTTTAATTCTTTTAGGAAGATACCCTGAAGGGGAATAGCTGGGTTGAACAAGACCTCCAATCCCAGGAATCTCCACAGAATCTCCACGGTGGTTGTTGTTGCTTGATTTTTGAATACTAGCCATTCTTTCTAGGGTGAGGTGAAATCTCATTGTTTACTTTGCATCTCTTAATGACCGGTGCTGACTTTCTACACTTGGCTTCTTTGGCCATTCTGGTGTTGATTTTCAGTGTTCCCTGAGCCAGGAAGAAATCTGTGTTTTGTTTTGTTTTTGGCACCACGGATCGAACTCATGATCTCACGCTTGCCAGGCAGGCGCTTTTGCCACTGAGCTAAACCCCTGAGCCCAGAAATCTTAATTTGGATTCATGCAGTCATTTGTCAGGGCCCGTGCGCTGTGCCAGGGCTGTGAAGGTGACGGTACAGGGCTGCCAGGCCGCGGAGGGCACACAGTCCCTGACACACTCACCCTTGCGCTGTGCCAGGTGCTCCCGAGCTCCTGGGCTTCCCGCGGGTCCCCTCAGTCTCTGCTCCCTCTCGCCCTCGCCTGCTTTGCCCAGGGACCTGGAGGCGCGTGCGCAGAACGAGTTTTTCCGGGCCTTCTTCCGGCTGCCCCGGAAGGAGAAGCTGCGCACCGTGGAGGACTGTGCCCTCTGGACGCCCTTCAGCCGCTGCCACACAGCCGGCCGGATGTTTACCTCGGACAGCTACATCTGCTTCGCCAGCCGTGAGGACGGCCGCTGCACCGTGGTCCTGCCACTCCGCGAGGTACAATCCCGTCCCACTCCTTTTGCTTTTATTTTTAATTTTGATTTTTGCGACCACCTGTGCATGGGCTGTGGCGCATGTGCATAACTTTTGGCTTGTGCTCTCCATCTCACTCTTCCCATTTGCAGAAGTTTTAGCTCCCTGTTTTCCTGTGGTCTTTATTTTGCTCTTCATTATGCTTTGGGAAACCATGCGATGTTGAAGCTTGTGTGTGGCACTGTGTGATGGCACTGTGCATGCATTTCCCTAGAAATGACTTGTTTATCGTTTTTAGTGCATAGTAGTACTCTACTGCGTGTAAACGCCACATTTTCCTTATGCAAGCATCTTAGTCCCCATCCAAATGTCTTCTGGAAAGAGGTGAAGGCATCACATTGCCATTACTATTACTGTGTGTGCCCGTCTTTCTAGAAGAGCCATGTGGTCCTCAAGCAGCCTTTGTCACCTGCAGCCCAGGAGCCAGGCCCTTGTGACAGTGCTAGAGGCTGGGTACATGTATGTCAGAAGAGGTGGATGGTGCTCCTAAGGCTGGAGAGCATGACACCAGCTGTGCCCAGCGCTGGCAATGGCTCCAGGGGGTGGCATCCCGGTGGCAGGAATGTGTATGAGAGGGGGCCATGGGTCCCTGAGAGGATTCTCGACCTTCACTTGGCCCATCTCTTAGCACCACTACAATAGAAACCAAGCTTCTCGCAAGAAACTTCAGGGAAAGCCCTCCTACCTCATCTAAAGCAGATCAACCTCAGTCTTGGTGGTGGTATGGCACATGGGAGGGGACGATCACCCAGCACTGTTTTCCTGTCTGAAGGTGGGCATCTGGGCTTTGTGAGGGAAGCAGGACCTGAACTGAACCATTCCCCTGCTGCTGTTGCTATGGCAACCTGACATCCACCTAGAAGTGATGGGGGAGAAGAGTCTCACCTCCACATTACTGATAAAGCTGTTACTAAAAAATGCAGTCCTAGTCTAGCAGTGACAGCTTTTCCAACAGCTCTTAGGAAAGAATCTTACCCTTTCACTAAAAAAAGAAAAAGAGGGGGCTGGGGATTTAGCTCAGCGGCATAAGCGCCTGCCTTGCAAGCAGGCAGTCGTGAGTTCGATCCCTGGTACCGATAAAAAAGGAAAAAGAAAAAAAAAAAAAGCTACCTATAAAAAACTTCACATTTGGGAAATAAATGGCAAATTGCTTGGCTTTTCTCCTGGCACCTGAGTTAATGACTTAAAAATGTTTCCTTGGGCCAGGCATGGTGATGCATGCCTATAATCCCAGCACTTGAGAGGCTGAGGCAGGAGGATCATTACAAAGTGAGCTCAAGGCCAGTCTGAACTGCATAGCAAGATCCTGTCTCAAAAAGAAAAGAAAAAAACAAAAATATCAAAAATAAAGGACTAAATGGCATCCTTTGGCACATGTGTACCTCAGCCAGCTTACCCCTTTGCTGCCTCTTAGTGGAAGCCATGAGGGTTGCGCCCCCCTCCCCACCCCAGCACTGCTCTTGCCTTCCCTTTTGGTGCCCTCTGAGTCTGCCTTCCAAAGTGCACTGTGCCTGTCATGTCCTGCACCAGGTCGTGAGCATCGAGAAGATGGAGGACACGAGCCTGCTGCCCAGCCCCATCCTGGTCAGCATCCGCAGCAAGATGGCGTTCCAGTTCATCGAGCTCCGGGACCGCGAGGGGCTGGTGGAGAGCCTGCTGGCGAGGCTGAATCGGGTCCACGCCGACCGCCCTGTGCACTACGATACCTTGGCAGGCGAAGGCGAAGACGTGGTAGGGGCCCTCAATGTGGTGGCCTTCCCTGACCTGGGCCTGGAGTCTCGGGTCCATGTGCCATTATGTGGGTGTCGCCCTGGTGCACTGCTGGCTCCATGGGGTTGCACAGGGTCACGTACCCCGCATTTGAGGGCAGGTGGTGTCCTGCGGAGGCTGGAGGGGCCGATGGCATGGTGCTCTTCACAGGCCAGACAGTTGACAGAGCAGCCCACAGGGTGGGGCCCTTTTCTGTGCCTGTGATGTAGGAGGACATCAAGCCTCTGTCCCCATGGACCTGCCAGGAGAAAGGTTTCATCACTGTTACGATTGGGTGGCTGCGGAAGTAGACGGGATTCACTCGATCCTTGTGACTTTCTTGAAAAATCTATTTTTATGTGTTAATCTTTGGTGGTACAGATCAAACCTGTGACCTAGCGGGGCGTGTGGCAAATGCCTGGACCCCAGCATTCAGGAGGCTGAGGCAGGAGGACTGTTGCAAGTTCAAGACCATCCTGACTTAGACAAAGTGAGCTTAAGCACAGCCTGAACTGCATAGCAAGACCCTGTCTGACAAAAGAGCAAACAAAACAAAACAACCGCCCCCCCCCCAAAAAAAAACCCCACTGTGACCTGACCTTGCACTGAGCTACGTTCCCTTTAGTTTCTTAACAGACACAAGGGCTCCCTGAGTCACCCAGCTGCCGGGCTGAGTTTGGACTTGAGGCCGCCTGCCTCAGGCTTCCAGAGTGCTGGGATGACAGATGTGCGCCGCCATCCGGCTGGGACCTTTGGAATTTCCATTAGTGAGTCACTGTGCGTACCCCCACTTCTGTTTTTTTGCCATGCAGGTGTTTTACTCAGGCCTATGTGGTAACCCTAAGTTCGGGGACCTTGAAATGGTGTCTCCCCCAAGCAGCGAGGAGAGTGAGGAGAAGAGCCTGCCACCACACCTTGCGCCCCTGACCCCGCTCTTCCCACAGCCGGGCAGCCCGAGACCTGACTGTCACCTGGTGGGTGAGGCAGCTCTGCCTGGGCTGGCTGGGCTGTGGGTGCCCAGGCTGGGGACGCTGTGTTCAGCGACCTTGGGGCGGAGGCGGCCGGGATTTGAGCAGGGAGGGCCACAGAGCGCCAGCTCTCGGGGGACTCAGGCTGAGGGCCACTGGCTCTGGGTACCTGTCCCCAGGGTGGTTGTCACAGTGCACTCGCGTGTGGCCAGGCAGCAGGCAGCGCTGTCCCCGCGGGTGTCCAGGTGCCCACAAGTCTGTCTCCTGCTACCCGGTCACACCCACGCGCCTCCCATACAAGGTCCTCGCTGTTTCTCTGGGACGAGGGTCACCTGTCTCCCAGCTGTACTGAGCTAAAAGTCCTTCACTACCTGGAGGCTTTGCGGGGGAAATTCGAGGCAGCGTCCTATACAGTCGGGAAGTGGGTACAGCTCCGAGCCGGAACCTTGGGGGTGGGATAGCCACGGGGCAACCACAAGGACCAGCGGGGCTGTGGACACTGTGGCCAGGCTGTGTCTGTCACTAAGATGCCTCTGTGATCACCGGGTAGCTGTTTTCCTCACACTGAACTGGTTTGTCCAGTGCAGCTCTATGCAGCCACCTCTTGCTGACTGAATGCATGACAACATTGGACTTACATGGATGCATCTGCATTACGCAAAATACAGATTAGAAGTGGTTGTAAATATTACTTCAAAGGCCCTAACTGTCCCTAGGGATGATTTCCCTGGAGAAATAATGATCTTGTTTGTCACAGTAACAACAGTTTTTCTCCAGTTGTGGTTTTCCCGTGGCTGAGGGGAAGCTGAGCATAAACTAGGGCCACCTCCTCTCCCCACAAGCTGACCTGATTTTAGCAGCTGATGCCATGTCAGCATCCCAGGAGACATTTCTTAGTGTCCCTGTTCTTTCCTCCCATCTGATTTGGGCTATGCTTCAGTATTTGTGGGGGGTTTTGTTTGCTTTTTCTTTTCCTTTTTTTTTTTTTTTTTTGAGACAGAGGCTCCCTTTGTAGCTCAGGCTGGCCTCGAACTCATGGTGACTCTCCTGCCTCAGCCTCCTAGCTGATGGGATTGGAAGCATGTTTTTTTTTTTTTTTTTTTTTTTTTTGTCTTTTTCCTTTTTATCGGTACCAGGGATCGAACTCACGACTGCCTGCTTGCAAGGCAGGTGCTTACGCCGCTGAGCTAAATCCCCAGCCCCCGGAAGCATGTATTTACAGAGATCTGTCTCCCCTTGCCATTGTGGTAGTGCTTTGGAGCCTGAGACAGGCGGATTGCTGTGAGTTCCAGGCCAGTCGGAACTACATAGATTTTGAGACCCTGTCTCAAAAAACCCCAGCAAACTCCAAAAAAACCTAAACCAGGAAAAAAGATGTCTCCCAGCACCCGGCTGGAGAGGTGCCCTCTCCTGGCATCATCACTGCTGTCACCAGGGTCCCCCGGAGGCGGAGCAGTGGCTGAGGCCTCACAGACGTGTCCCCCCGTCCCGGGAGCAGGTGAAGGTCAGCCTGTGGAACGACCACCTGGCGGAGTATGGCAGCACAGTGTGCATGTTTCGCACCGAGAAGATCCGCAAGCTGGTGGCCATGGGCATCCCTGAGGCCCTGCGCGGGCGCCTCTGGCTCCTGTTCTCAGGTGCGTGCGCAGCGAGGCTCGGAATTCTCAGGCAGGGCCTGGAGCTGCTGTGGTGCTGGTAGTGGGCCCTGGGTTGCTCTCTGAGGCCTCAGGGCGACAGCGACCTCCACTATGAGGTCTGGCCAGTGAGATCTCTCCTTTGAGGATGACTCCCTGTGTCTGTAATCCCAGCACCTAGGAGGCAGAGGCAGGAAGATCTTCCACAAGTTCATGGCCTGTCTGAACTACGTAATGAGACTTTGTCTCAAAAAATACAAACTAGCCAGGTGTGTGGCATACACCTATAATCCCAGCACTGGAGAGGCCAGGCAGGGGGAGCACTGCAAGTTCAAGATCAGCCTGGGCTACAAAGTGAGTTCAAGGCCAGCCTGAACGGCATAGTGACACCTTGCCTCCAAAAGACAAATGCATAAAATAAAGTAATTAAAAAATAAAAGGAATCATTCAACGTCTGTACATATTGCTGCACATTGCATGAAGAAGCCCCCGGGAAGAGGCATCTTCCGAGGACAGCCGCCCAGCTGCCCGGGGCCCCTTCTGTGTCACAGGCTGGGTCTCTGTAGGCCCCCTGCAAACACTGCTTTCATCCCCTACCTCCCCTCCTCCTAGACCTGCTCCACAGAGCCCAGGGGCCCCCTCCTCTGGGCACTTCTGGGGCTGAGCCAGGTCAGGTTCCCCAGAGTCTGCCGCAGGCCCTCTGCATCTGTCTCCAGCTGCTGGGACAGGTGGGCGAAGGCAGGGGCCTCTCCTTGCCACCGCCCACAGGACCCCCAGACCTTCCCCCCTGGTGTTTGGCCTCCTGCTGGTAGAGCTTGGCTAAAATACGTGGCGCTTGAGACCACATGCTGTCGAGTGAAATCAGTTGGACACACGGGTGTAAAAACCTCCTGGTTTCTCGGGTGTGAGAAGTGTGTGAAGGATGACCAGAATGTGTGATAGATACTGGGAGGTGGGCAGACAGTGCTCAGATGAGGAGGGGAACAAGGGGGTGGGGAGCAGAGCCGGACCAGGAGAAGAGAGAAGAGGAAATGGAAATGCAGCTTCTGTAAATGGGGAAGGGGCGGAACAGAGGATGGACAAATAGCAGCAGGGTCCTCCATGTGGGGCCATCCCCGCGATAACTGTTCCTGGGTGGGTCTAAAACGGACCAAAGCCCCAACAAAACCCCAGGTGCTGTGCTCAGCAGGGTGAGGAGGGGCCCTGGGCCCCAGCTTCCAGCCTTGGCCTGGAAGTGGGTGTTTTTATACTGGGCCAAGGGACAGAAACAGAGGCATTCTGTGCATGGTCCCCAGGTGTTTTCTGACCCTCCATGCATGATGAGGTTCCCTTTGTTCAGCCCCCTGCCACCCTTACCCCGGGAACCTGGCCTCTGTGTCGCATCCTCAGATGCTGTGACAGACCTTGAGTCACACCCGGGCTACTATGGGAAACTGGTGGAGGAGTCACTGGGCCGGAGCTGCCTGGTGACCGAGGAGATTGAGCGCGACCTGCACCGCTCCCTGCCTGAGCACCCGGCCTTCCAGAACGAGACGGGCATCGCGGCGCTGAGGAGGGTGCTCACAGCCTACGCCCACCACAACCCACGTATCGGGTACTGCCAGGTAGGTGGCGGCTAGGGCTCCATCCACTTGTCCTGGCACTGACCTGGGGTGCTGCCTGCTCAGGCCCTTCCAGAAAGAATGGGCCATGCAGGGCAAAATAAGGATCTTCCTGCGCCGTGTGGCTGAAAATACAAGGACTGTGTAAATGAAAGAACAGAAGGGGCAAGGAGAAGACCCATTGCCGTGAATCCCCTCAGGGCCCCCTCGCTCTGAGCACACGAGCCGCCATCCTGGCTGTGATCCGCACTGGTTCTGGAGTCCCCTTTAGTGTCTTCAGTTGTGCTGTCCTGGTCCCTCTGTGTCCTGAGTCAATCAAAACACTTCCTTGCCTGCCTGGTCAGTTTGACTGCAGGGAGGAGTCAGTCACACGGCTGGACCCCGAATCCTGCAATTGTGAGCCGCCTTTCTTTGGATGGCGCTCAGAGCTTCCTCTGAAGTTTGGGTCACACCTTGTACAGACCCGTGAGGAGGAGGAGGACTTCAGACCTGCTTCAGAAGGCGGCAGGATCGATGGGATAAGTGTTGGAGGATGTGGAGTGGTCGGTGGCAGTGTGTCTTTCACTGTCATCAGCTTTTTATAGAATTTCGATCACACCTCTTCTAGTCAGGCTGAAAGCTTAGAGATGCCTTGAAGTGCAAATGCCCGTTCGGTCAGCTGCCAGACAGGCTGCTGCCACCTGTGTCCCTTGAACTCCAGTGAGCTGGGATGGGCTCAGCACAACCAGTAGACTGAACAGCAGTTCTGGGGGTGACACTGGCAGAGGCGCTGCTGGGGAAGGGGCAGCTGATGGGGGTCACTCTCCCCGGGGTGTGTAGGCGGAGGGGAGAGGTCTGTGGCCCTTTCACCAAGCACAGAATTCGGAGGAGTAAACTAAACCCCAGCACAAGACTCCCTGAGGGCATGTGCCGGGCCTTCAGTGAAGGCCACTGGGTCCAGCATTGCCCGACGGGGGAGGGGCTGCTGAGCGTTCACCCTGGGTGAGGACTGTGTTCCCCGTGGTCAGTCATTCCTGAAGGGTCACAGCATTTGGGGCGCTTGGGCCCTGTCATCTTGTGGCTCTGTGTGTGTGTGTGTGTGTGTGTGTGTGTGTGTGTGTGTGTGTGTGTGCAGGAGTGTGTGCTGTGATGCTGGGGTCTGAACCTAGGGCCTTGGGCACACCAGGCAAGCAGCCTTTCTCTGAGCAGCACCCCATCCTGGGCGTGTGTCTCTAAAGTCCCTCAGCACTGGGCTGGCCACTAACTGCCTGCCCTTTGTGCCCTCTGAGCAGTCCATGAACATCCTGACCTCTGTGCTGCTGCTCTACGCCAAGGAGGAGGAGGCCTTCTGGCTGCTGGTTGCCGTGTGCGAGCGGATGCTGCCTGATTACTTTAGCCACCGGGTCATCGGTAAACCACCCTTCCTGCCCCACCACCTATACCCCGGGGGGTAGAGTCCAGGCGAGATGTCCACCGTCAGGCTGTCCACGTGGTCCCTCCATGCACACGCATACACATGCTTTGACTCTTGAGTTTGTTTTCCATGCAGCTTTGGCAGTACAATGAAATAAGGTAACCCAGATACGCTCATGATGGAGACCCTATAAATTTTGGATGGAAAACAATGATTGTAGGTGAACAGCTGAACTTATGGGAGGAAAGGAAATTCCTGGTGCCCAGAAAGTAAGTCACAATATGACTTTGCACTGGTGCTGAAGAGCAGGGTGGCTAGGTGACCCCCTTGGTCACCTAGGACAGCAATGGCAAAACCTTTCAGACACCAGGTGCCGAGGCTGCAACCCTGAGCCCCCTTACACAGTGCGCCAGCACTGCAGTGAAACTTGGATTCTGAGGTTTCTTTAGGTTTCTTTTTGGAACCAGGAATTGAACTCACGACCTCATGCTTGCCAGGCAGGCGCTTATGCCACTGAGCTAAGTCTCAAGCCCTTGAGGTTTTAGTTTAGAAAAACTAACTCACATGCTTGGCTCTCAAGCCATGGTCTTACCATTGCAGGCCTGGGAGCTTGTGCCAGGAGGAGTCATGTGCCTGGAAGAGTGGTTCTGGGGACTCTCGGGTCTGACCTAACTTGGGTCTCCCAACTAGTATGAGGAAACCTGTTGCCACCTGGGCTTGTGTCAGCCAGCTTTTTGTTAGTGTAATCAAATGCCTGATGCAGGCTGCTTGCAAAGAAAGGCTGACTTGGCCCACGGTTATGGAGGTCCACAGCCATGGTGCCCCTTGCTGTGTCCTGGAGAGGACCCCACGGAGGAAGAGGATGGCAGAGCAAAGCGTGTGTCAGGGCAGCTGGGCCACAGCTCAGGCTGGGAAGCTGCTCTCAGGCCAATCGCCTTGTGAAACCAGCTGGGGTCACGGGAATGGCCTCCGGAAGGTTCCCCCACCTGCCCAGGCTCAGGCCCAGCTCCTGACTATCGAGGGCAGCGGCCCAGCAGGGAAAGCCTCAGCCCGCGGTTCTGCTCTCAGAGCCTTGCCTTCTGCTCTCAGAGCCTCGCCTTCTGTAGGGCTTGGTGTAAATGTGTGGAGTCTGTGGCCTGGCGGCCTGGTGTCACAGGGAGTGATATAAGAAACAGTCTGGGCGTGCTTTCAGGCCTTTGCAGTGAGATGAGTGGCGGGGGTGGGCCAAGATCACAGTGGCAGCGTGGGAACAGAAACGGAGCTAATTTGAGACAGAATTTGGCAGCCGACTGGGTGTAGGGGAAGCAGGAAGAAAGCGCTTCTGAAGATGGATCTAAGAGTTCAAAGCTGTGGTCCTGGCGGGAGTGGGGGTGGCCGGAAAGAGTTGATGCTTCCTGTCCGGGACACTCATAGATGCCCCTCTGGCTGTCATCGCTGGCCCCTGCACTGCCTGAGTGGGTGACCGACTCGCTTCTCATTTTGTCTTGTGGGAGGCAGCAAAAGGTGCGGGTCACAGGAATAAACAGGACCTGGGTGTTATTAGCTGTGCCGGGCATCCACGCTGGTGGTACGCCACTGGCTGGCTCCTCTGTGACCCCGAGTTGTGCATCACTGTGTCTGCACAGTGGACCTCTCCAGGAGCATTTGAGTGACTTCCTGTTTTGAGCTATGACAGGTGAAATAGCAGTGGATGGCCATGCAGATGTCTTTTTGTGGATGTATATTGTCATTTTCTTGGGTACTCATCCAGCGCAATTGCTGGGTGACTTCTAAACTGGATGGGATGTATTTATAACCTCATTCCAATAGCGTGTGAATGTCCCGGTTGCTGTCTGTCCTTGTTAACCCTTGGGATCATGTTTTTGTTTTTTTTTTAAACTTGAGGCATGCTCCGGGGTTAGAAGTGGTATTTGTTGTGAGAGCTTTAATTTGCTAATTTTGAACATATTTCTCTGCCCAGTGACCATTTGTTTATCATCTCTTCTGAGTGCTCACCTCTTGAGCTTACATACTAAGAAAAGAAAATGCATTGGTTCCTTCTGATTAAGCTGTAGGAATTCCTTCTTCTGGATCCGGGGCCCGTGTTGGGGAGATATGCTGCACGTGTTTCTTCCAAGTCTAAAGTTCGCACTTTCATTTTATTAATGGCATCTTTTGAAGAACAGCAGTTTTTAGTTTTGATTGAGTCCATTTAATTTTTTTTAGTGATTAGGTTTCTGTTTTGTTTTTGTTTTTGGCCTTACTCTAGATTTTCTGCCAGAAGTTGTACCATGTTAGCTTTGTTAATGCAGATCTGTGTCCACTTCCAATGCACTTCCTATGTGGTGTGAGGGGAGGGTTGGGCCCCGCACCCCATAGCTTTTATTCAGGCTGGGTTTACCTCTTGTGACTCCTTCCTCCCAGTGCTCAGTGCCACCTTTTGCAGGAGCTCAGGTGGACCAGTCTGTCTTCGAGGAGCTCATCAAGGAGCATCTCCCGGAGCTGGCGGAGCACATGAACGACCTCTCGGCCCTAGCATCTGTGTCCCTGTCATGGTTCCTGACCCTGTTCCTCAGCATCATGCCCCTGGAGAGTGCTGTGAATGTCGTGGACTGCTTCTTCTATGACGGGATCAAAGCCATCTTCCAGCTGGGGCTGGCTGTGCTGGAGGCCACCGTGGAGGAGCTGTGCAGCAGCAAGGACGACAGCCAGGCCTTGGTGACCCTCAGCAGGTGGGCCTGCTGTGCTCGGTGGCTCCTGGGAGGATGGAGGTGCTAGCAGAGACCGGAAGACACAGGAAGCGGTGGCCAGGGTGTGCCAGCACTGCGAAGCTTTGTCTTTGCTCTGGCACCTGTTACCTTGTGGTCTGAGAGCCACCCTGCTGGCAACACTGCCACCAGCACGGGGTGAAAGATGCCATCCTCTCTCACCCTGTCCGCTAAGTGGGAGTTCAGGAAGGACAGGGGCCGTGAGCACTAACCTGTCACCAGTGGACCTGGACCTGAACAGCGTGGGGTGCTGGGGTCTCAGGCATTGTATGCAGGGGGTGTCGAGCACCCACAAGGGCAGGAGCCCAGCAGGCCAAGCCCGGGGACCTGGCTGCCCAGCTCTGCAGGAGCAGGATGTTGGGTCACCATGCAGTTCTATCAGCCTGACACAAGGCGGTACTGCAGAATTCCACCTGACTTCCCCACCAGGTCAAGTGGACAGGCATGGCTCTGGCAGGGCCCCCTGCAGTGTGGCCAGCTCACCCTCTCCCAGATGCTGTGTTTGAATGCTGAACACAAGCTACTGTCTAGAGTGGGTGTTGTGTGGCTCAGTGGGGGGACCTGGCTTACACTGGGGACTTGCTTAGGTTTCTAGATCACATTAGGAATGAAGACAGCCCAGGCCCCCCCGTTGGCAGTCACCACGCCTGTTTCTCTGATGACCAGGAACCCCACCCTGTGACCGACATTGCGGACCTTATCCGGGACTCCTACGAGGTTCAGAAGCTCCTGGCCCAGCCTCGAGGCCCCTTCCCTGTCCTGTGGGAGTACCCCTGGGAGGGGGGTACCTCAGGAGAATGCCAAGCTGTTTCCTGTCTGCTCTGGACCTAGCAAGGATTCTGACTGGGGTGGGGGTTCCCTGCAGAAATTCGGGGACCAGTCTGTGGAGCAGATTGAGCACCTGCGCTGCAAGCACCGTATCCGGGTCCTGCAGGGACACGAGGACACCACAAGGCAGAACGTGGTGAGCAGGGCCTGTGATAGGGACGCCCTGGCAGTCATGTGATGTGAGAATGCCAGCCGTTTTTCTGCTGGTCTGCTCTGGAACTGAGAACTGAATAGGGGTGACGCAGAGCAAACAGTCAGAAGGCGAGCCTGGGAGCCTCGGGTCCCCTACTGTAAAAGGGGATCGGGTTGGGCACGATGCCTGGACACAGGCTGTGAATGGAGGCGGAACATCCAGCGCCTGTCCTGGGCACGGATGAAGGGGACCAGTGGTGGGACAGCTCCAACACCATCTCGGGGTCAGTGAGGAGCTGGCACTGCCCAGGACGGGGGAGCCACTGTGGCAGGGATCTAGCTCGGGCCGGCCTGACTCCTCCCTCCCTGCTGCTCCTTTAAGCTCCGCGTTGTCCTCTCTGAGGTCTCGATTTCTCCCGAGGACCTGGAGGAACTCTACGACTTATTCAAGGTAGGGCAAGGCCGGGCCCTGCTCACTTCTGCCCACAGCCCTGGCGTCAGGAAGGGGGCTCTGCTGCCCGCTGGCAGCGGCATCCAGGCTGGGGTGGCCGAGGGCCGGTGCTGCCCTGCTGAGTGGCAGGGGTCCTGGCTTACAGTGACAGAGATGGTGACCATTCTCACCCACCCAAGCCCACCTTGTGACACAGGCCTGCAGGCTTTTCTGTGCCTTGTGGCCGCCGTGTGGCTAGGCCTTGCCTTTTGTTGCTGAGGCAGGAGGATCTCTGTGAGTTTGAAGCCAGCCTGGGCTACACAGTGAACCTCTGTCTCACCCTCCACCTGGGGCCAACACCAGAACCTCATACTCTGTGGGTGACACGGGAAGCTCTTAGACGTCTGGTCGGGTGGGAGGTGCCCAGGTTCTGTCATCTGGTTTGCCTGACAGCATTGCTTCTTGAGTGAGCAGTGTTTCCTGGGGAGAGCCTGGGACACATCGGCCTTAATCTGTCCCCGGCGCTGTCCCTGGCGTCACCCAACATCACGGTGTTCCCCTCCTGTGTGCAGCGGGAGCACATGCTGAGCTGCTACTGGGGGCAGCCTGGGCTGGTGGCCCTGCGCCACGACCCCAGCAGGCCCTACGCCGAGCAGTACCGCATCGATGCCCAGCAGTTCACACGCCTCTTCCTGCTGCTGTCCCCCTGGACCTGTGGGGCCCACACGGAGATCCTGGCAGAGAGGACTTTCCGGCTGCTGGACGACAACATGGACCAGCTCCTGGAGTTCCGGGCATTCGCCAGCTGCCTAGGTACGACAGTGGCCCCGAACTACAGTGGGTGGGGATGGGGCGCCCTATCACAGGCCTGACACAGTGCTGGGACTTCCACACATCACTCCTGCCAGGCCACTGCTGTGGGGGTGGGGAGGGGCTTGAGCTCCCCCTTCGGAGCCCACGGATGTTCTCAGCACCTGGCGTGCCAGGAGTGAAGTCCCCAAAACTAGTCTGTGCCAAGACCTCCACCAGCCTGCCCTCCCAAGGTTGCCGTGTGGCCCGGCCACCAGCTCCCCCTGCTGCTTTCTGTTCTAGCCTGGTGTGGGTTGGGAGGCCCTTGGGGGACACAGAGTCCACATCAGGACAGACGGAGCTGCCCGTGGTAGCTGTGTCTCTCTTTTGCAGATACTATGTACAACGGAGAAATGAACGAGAAAATCAAACTGCTGTACAGGCTTCACATCCCTCCAGGTAAGAAAGGAGACTCGGCTGTGCCCTGCTTCACTCACACACATGCACGGTCGCTGTGCGCACCGCCTGGCAGCTCCTTGCTTTTTAAATCTCACTTAGACTCAGGCCACAGGGGTCCAGTTGAGGCTGTAGCTCACATGCTGTAAGGACTGCAAGACCTGTGCTCCATCCTGCAGCAGTGTGCCATGACCCTGGTGCGGGCCCAGCTGGATGCCAAGCCCCTGAGGCGAGAACTGTGGACCCTGGGCCTGTGCGAGATGGCTGTAGTAGGCCACGGATTTTGTTGGCTTTCTTTGGATTTTTTTTTTTTTCTTGACACAGGGTCTTGTTCAGATGGCTTGAGCTCAGGGTGACCCTCCTGCCTCAGCCTCCTGGGTGCTGAGATTACAGGTGTGCGCCACTGGGCCTGGCTGGCTATTTCTGAAGCGTCATTTTCCAGCATGTGAAATTGTGTTTCCTTCAAACTCACACAGTGATAACCAGGAATAAAGGAAGTCGTTTTGAAAGCAGTGAGCTTGAGGTTTATGTTGAGCCAACCATGGTGGTGTACGCCTATAATCCCAGCTCTCTGAGACAGGAGGATCATTGGGAGTTCCAGACTAGCATTGGCTACAAAGTGAGTTTAGGAATAGTCGGAACTGCAGAGGGGAATCACTGGGAGGTTCCTCAGTCAGTCGTGTACAGAAGCAGGGCTGCCGTGACTCCACGGGTCACCAGGTCCTTCTCCGAGTGCCAGGACCCAAGGGGCCTGTGACTGTGTTCTCCGAAGGGATGTCACTGGCACAGAGGCAGCAGAGCGCTGGCCTCAGAGTGAGGCCCCGGGCATTACGCTGTGCACCCATGGGCAGAGAGCGCCGGCCCTCCAGGGCTGTGCCCAGGGCAGCTGCTGGCCATGGCAGCAGAGTTCGGGGATCTGTGCTTTGGGGCCGGCTGCTCTCTGGCTTCAGGCCGTTTCACAGGACTGGTATGCACGCCTCCTTGCTGGGATGCCATGCTCTTCCGTAGTCCTGCAACTGTTACCTAGGACACGCATTTCCAGTCTGGATGGGCCATTCAGGATAGTTCATCTTCACGCTGTGGTAAGCAGGAACTGAGAAATTGTTTTGAAAGCTATGAGGTCAAATTTGACATTTATCTTAGGCAGTTGGGGGGCAGGAGGGATTTAATTGTAAGAGGAACAAAACTTGAGGATAGCAAAAGTGTGACCTACAGCTCTGTAGATGTGCTGGGGTCTACTGAATCTTACATCCTAAAACTGCGGAGTTTTGATTTAATAAAGTTTTATAGAAAAAAATTTTTTAAGCATCCAAAAACCAGAAAAAGGACACCCCCCAAATTTTTGATGAATACTTTCGGAGCTTTGGTGCCATCTTGTGGAAACTTCGTGAATCACAACTTAATTCTTTCCCTCCCTCCCCCTTACCTTCTTCCTTCCTGTCTTTCTCTCCCTCTTTTTCTTTTTTGTTTTCTTGAGACAGGAACTTACTATGTAGTTCAAGCCATGCTTGACTTCACTGTGTAACCTAGGCTGGCCTCAAACTCTGAGTGATCCTCCTGCCTCAGCTTCCCTAGTGCTGGGACACAGGCATGCACCACCACTGCCAGGTCAACACGGTGAATTTTGTGTGTATGTATTGGGTTTGGTGTTTATTTTCTTCATTTTTCATCTCCTTTTTGTTCTGGCACCTTTTAGATACACATTGGTAGCATATTTCTCAGAGAATTTAGACCTGTATGTGATGTCTTGCTTCTTTTTTTCCATTCCCTTCTTCCCTCCTTTCAGCCTCTTTCCTATTTACAGAAGCTCTGTTTTCATTATTTTCTTCTAGTCCTTTTTGTTTTCCCTTCCCCCTCCCCTTCCCTTGTTCCCTTCTCATGTGAACATTTTCTTCCCATTTCCCAATGTCTGTTACAGATTTTGGTCCATAATATACTTCGGGTTTCTCACATCAGAGAAACAATGTGGTGTTGCCACGTGGGTCTGAGTTATGTCACTGAGGCGTATGGCCTCAAGGTGATCTGTTTACCCAGGACTGTCTCAAGCACAGCCTTCTTCATGTCAGAGTAGTATTTCACATTCAGTGCAACTGATTGTGCCACTGATTTTTGCCTGACTTACTCTTACTGCACATGAGCAAGTTTTAATCTTTTAAAAATGAAGAACTTCCCTTATCACTCTCTTATTTTGTAGTAGTGTTACTGAGCTGTAATTTATGTGCCATCCAAGTCACTCATTCAACGTATATTCGATAGCTTTTCATTCAGAGTTGTGCGAGCAAACCCTAATAAGAATCTGTCCCAGCCCATCTGTCCCCAGCCTTAGGAAGCCGGGTACGTGTCTGTATGTCCTGCACACTGCATGTATGCGGCCTGGACACAGCACTTGCTGCCAGGCGCCTGGCTTCTGTCACTTGGCGTAGCATCGTCAAGATTCATCCACGGTGCGGCCCAGGTGACACCAGCACCGCACACCTGTGCATCTGTGTCCTCGCCGGCTGACAGGCCTTGGCTGCTCTGGTTTTGGCTCATGCCGCTCTGAAGGTTCCTGTGCAGGTGCTGGTGACTCTGACCTGTGTCGTCTGGTAACTGCCTGGGAGCAGGAGCCTGGCTCAGATGGCAGCCCTGCCGAACAGTCTGAGGAGCTGACAGGCAGTCTCTGGGCCAGCGGGGCCAGCTTACTGCCCCCAGCAGTGTGTGAGGCTTCTGATGTCACTTTTAGTTTTCCTATGTTCTGAGAAAACTGTGTTCATGACACGGAAAGTTAATAACCAATTATCCTCCCATCCAGAGACCTAGCCTGTTCATTTTTGGAGTTTCTTCCATATGTGTATTGACACTTCTATAGAATAGGAATTGACAGTGTGCGTGTGTGTTTCTCCAAACCAACTCAGCAATGCTGGCCGTGTGTGTGTGTGTGTGTGTGTGTGTGAGAGAGAGAGAGAGAGAGAGAGAGAGAGAGAGAGAGAGAGAGACAGGGTCTCCATGAAACCAGGCCGCGAGGTGGCCTTGAACTTGCTGTGATCCTCCTGTCTCGGACTCCGAGTGCTTGGGATCACAGGTGTGCATCACCACAGCCAGCGCAGTGTCTGCTCATGAATCTGTGCATCGTCAGTTCCAGCAGTGCCCGTGGACATCTGGGATGTGAGACATTTTACTGACCTGGTGCCTCTGGACAGGAGCTGTGGACACTGAGCTCCCTGCACAGAGCCTGCAGCCTGCAGCCTGGGGCTCTGCAGTCTCTGGTCCTGTCTTGCCTAAGAAGCTAAAGCATTTACCAGTCTTGGCCAGGTAACATGTGCTCAGTTTATGTCTCTTTCCCTCTAAGCGCTTACTGAAAATGACCGGGACAGCCAGTCACCGCTGAGGAGTCCTCTGCTGTCGACATCCAGGCCGCTGACATTCGGCAAGTCCCATGGCATGTACCTCCCCCATCACCTGCTCCCGAGGCACTGCGTGCGTCCTGGCTGCTCTTGTGGCTGCCTGGCCCTTCCTTACCTCTTGGGAGTCACCAGAGCCCACTGTGTCAGCCAGGAACCTTCTGGGAGCTGAAGTGTCGCGGTGCCAGTGTTTCTTCCTGTCCTTTAGTTTGCCCCAGCTATATGGAGGGACACAGTCAGCTCTTACACTCCTGGAGTTCCTGGTGCTATGTGGGGCTTGCTTAGTGGGACCCCTCATCCGTCTACCAGTGTTCCTTTTTGCTTTCACTGAATTTCAACTGTTTTTCCTTTGTTTCAAGGTGATACAGTTGATTATCAGAAGCAGCTGAAGCAGATGATTAGAGATCTAGCCAAAGAAAAAGACAGAACTGAGAAGGAGCTGCCCAAGATGAGCCAGGTATGAACTTCCTGCTATGGAGAGATGGACCATTTGTCCAGTTACTAACGATAACCCAGCTTGGCCCCTTCCCTTCCAGACCCCAACACCTCTGGGCTCTTTCATCTTAAAAGTCCAGGGCTGCCTAACTTTGAGGTGCTGAACATTATTGAAATAGGCTGCCATTTTTCATACCTTTCGGTTTGTGGAGTTCATTTGTCAGGGTTACCACTTTCTCCATGGGTGTTGGAAAGATTCGTGCCCAGAGGTACAGTATTCTTTCCTCAAAGAAACCAGCATGGTATCAGAACCACTGACTGCATGATACACAATGCAAGACCCTGGAACCTCTTCCAGAAACAAGTCTTACACTACACAGATGCCAGGTGGTGATGGCAGGGTTTTTTTTTTTTTTTAAATTTGGTAAGGGTCTCAGTGTTTGAGCAATGGAGGTTTAGAGCTAAGGATGGCCCTTTACTATGGGACTTATGCCACCTGCTGGGAGCCCAATGGGATGCAGCATGAGATGTTTCAGTCTTTTTGGTGGTGCCTGGAGTTGCAGGCTGGGGAGCCTGCGCCCCCCCAAGCCACACCCCAGCCCACTCCAGGTTTTTGAACCCAAAACAGTGTGCAGGGCTGGTGTTTGTAGCAGACCCTCTACGTGCTGCTGTCTGGGTGGGGTGGTTTTAGAGGTTCACTCTGCTCCTCAGGTGCAAATGATTTTCTCACCCAGTGCTTTCTTCCCCACCTCAAACATTAGCAGTACCATTTGACAGTTGGGGCCTCTATGCACTCCAGTGCTTCTGGGCGGTCACCAACCCACGACAAAGAAGCAGGTGAATCTGCTCAAGGCTGAGTTTCTCAGTGGCTCGGTGTCCTTTCCCACCCATCTGCTTAGCCTTAATAAGCATCCCTGCAGGCACCACCGGCACAGACATGCATTCTCCACTGCTGCCCATGAAACGCACCTACATGGGACCATGGCTCCTTGCCAAATGCTGCTGCTGTCACCAGTGTCCTTCCTCAAATGCAATCAGCAGAGCCCGCCAAGCCTGAAAACCATGCCTTTATCACTTGCCCTCAGTCCTGATACTATTACCCATTCAGAAACGTTCCTAACTAGAGATGGAAGGCCAGTGTGGTTATTAACATTTGGGTTCACCTTACATTCTAGTTTGCTTTCCAGCTTGTAGAAGCCTGCTGTCAGGTAGGTGGGCCATTTTTTCTAACCTTCTCCACAGCCTGACATTTCCATTACAAACGCTAGCTTAAATAGCCTAGGTAAGTCTCTTAAGAGCTGCGATTTCTTGGGACAAATTTCTGCAAGCTGGGAGACTCCATTACTGTGGTTACCACCTAGCCAGCATGCTTCTGAGCACTCGCAGAACCCCTGGAGAGGTGGTCTGCAGAATACAGGCTGAGAGTACTTTATCCTCTGCTTCTTCAGAGTAGTTGTGTGCTTTCCTCCAAGTGTAACATATGAAAAACAGTATTCTCATCCTGGCTATGCTGTTGCACTGGACTTTTTTCTAATTCCAGAGGGAGTTTATCCAGTTCTGTAAGACTCTGTACAGTATGTTCCATGAGGATCCAGAGGAAAATATCTTGTATCAGGCCATTGCTACAGTCACCACACTGCTGTTGCAGATCGGGGAGGTGGGCCAGCGCAGCAGCAGCTCGGGCAGCAGCTGCCAGGAGTGTGCAGAGGAGATGCCTGGCCCTGCTGCCTCTCCCGAGGACTCCGTCTTCGCAGAGCCTGGCAGGCCCGCCCAGGACACCCAGGCATTCCCTGCCATGGCAGAAGGGGTCTGGTCAGTCTCCCTGGAGCACATCCTGGCATCGCTGCTCACTGAGCAATCCTTGGTGAACTTCTTTGAAAAGCCACTAGACATCAAGTCCAAACTTGAAAACGCCAAGACCAATCAGTACGGCCTCAAAACCCTTGAACTGAGCCGCCAGCCGCAGCCTGACGGGAAGCTGGGTACCCCTCGGTGAGGCTGCCTGGCTGTCTGAGTGACCTGCTGGGAGACTGCCTGAGCAGCTCATTTCCCAGGACTCCTATTTATTCTTTAAGAGACCACCTGTTGGACAGGCAGTGGCACTGGGTGGCCATCTCGACACTGACCTGAGGCTTCGCTTCTAGCCATCCTGCTGCAATGGGTGCTCCTGCTGTGATGCTGGTATCACAACAGAGCCCAAGCACCAGATACAGACCAACGAGGCAGAGGAGAACCCCAGGCTTGCATTTCCATGAGTCGTGTTCACTGTCAGGGCCACTGTCTGCAACTGTTTTTGGCTTTTTTGCACTAATTTTGTTTCAATGCTGGTAATTGAAACCATTTTACTATTTTTGGTTGTATTCACTTTGGGTATGCCCTTCCAAAAATGTGTTACAATTATGCTCTCAACCTTGGCCACCACAGTTTTTAATAAACTTTTTTGTATCAATATTGACTGAGCCCTTCTACCTCACACTGCCAGGGGTGCCCTCTGTGCCATGTGAATACATAGGCTGCCCCTCCACCCCCTGCCTGGGGACCCTTCTTTGTGGCAGCACCGCACTGAAGTCCCAGCATAAATGCCCATAGAGTGGTGGCTCCAGCAGGGGAGCAACAGGGTTCCGAAGCCCGATGACCTGCCATGGGGAACGGCTTACATGCAGTGCAGCGCAGCATGAGGGGAACAGAAAACCAAGGCACAGAGGCAGCTGTGCAGCTTTATTTGAAAGCTAGTTCTCATCCACATTTACTGTCTGGAGATCTGTAAGAGAAGCAGCAGCCAGTCAGTCCCCACATTGACCCCCACTTCCCATGAGCACCTCAGTGACCATTTTAGAAAGGGCCAGACAAACAGCAGCACCCCACTGTCACCTTTATATGGCCCAGGCCCAGTGCTGTCTGTTTTCGGCATCTCCCCCACACTACGACAAGTTTTAAAAGCTGGAATAATTACACCTGCTATTTGCAGGCCGGCTGGAAGTTACCTAGCTTACAGGGGTAGAGCAAATACTTGGTTTAGAGATGCGTTTAGGTCAGAAAGAAAGCTAAGGAGGCACCCTGCACAGTGGCACATGCCTGTCAACGCAGCACCTGGGGCACCAAGGATCCCAAATTAGCAGCACTCCAGGTCACTTAGTCTGAAAATTTAAAAAAGGGCCTGTACCATAGCCCCATGTCCGTACCACAGCTTGGTGCCCAAGGCCCTGGTCACCTCCCATACCAGCGGTGATACTTTGCTCACATCACTTTTACAAGCTCCGAGAAACGCAGTGACTTACTTTTGAATGTGGTAACGGGGACATAGGTCACCAAAGTGTACAGCTTGTTCGGTGAGTCTTCGTCCTCATTACGTTTTCTGGACAACCGGACACGGATGCGATATGGCACATTCCTGGGGGAACACAGGTGACTCTGGTTCATGACCTCTTGGAGAAGCTGCAGCCTGTATCCCACCTTTGCTCCTGACCCTCAGATTCAGCCATGCACAGCGGCTCACTCGTAACCCCAGCACTTAGGAATCCGAGCCTGTAGTTCGAGGCCAGCCCCAACTACACGGCAAGACCCTGTCTTAAAACCAACTACCACAAAATAAAGCCCCATGCAAAACAGAAGCCAGCTACAGCTTGGGATCCAATCAGGGAGCCACTTACCTACTCCTGGAGAGTTTACCTGGCTGGACCCCGAATGCTACCACTCAGGACACCTGCCCAACAGAATGGGTCAGAGCAGCACCTCTGACCTCCAGCCACTCCTCAGCAGAAACTCGGGTGCCCACCCACTGTGCGGAGAACTCCACCCCTGCTCCCTAGGTGGGCTGCTGGCCTTCCTTCCAGACACTCAGCCCATCACAGAAGCCTGTGCACTGCCCTCATCCTCCATGAGGCCTCGGGTCACAGCCACAGTGTTCCCTTCATACCTCCAAGCATAACCCTTCCGACCATCACATGGACCCTGCCCCAAGCCGGACAAGGCGGTGGTGCGGTCAGCCCACTTCAGTACCTTATTCCCTTGGCCCAGACAGCTTTGTTGAGCCTGGTGTCAATGCGCACATCGGGGGTCCCCATCTCCTTCATGGCAAATTTCCGGATCTCCTTGAGTGCCCGAGGGGCACGCTTCTTGAAGCCCCTAAGATCCAAACACAAGGAAGAACAAACCTCATAAGCAAGCACATTATATGAAACACACAGTACACCTTGGTCTTACAAAACAGACCTAAACCTGTACCAGGCAGTAACAATCCTTCTGTCCTCCAGAGTGCAGTGGCCAGCAGCCAGGATTCACTCGGACAAGGAGCTGTGTGACCCATTTTCAGGGACATTAAAAACCATACTGGACAAAGTGCAGGACAGCACCTATTTGTCAGCTAGCTGTGCTCACAGGGCCGGGTCTGAAACTTCTATGTGCTAAGTATGAGGATGTCCACCAGCCAGGGAGCTCCAGGTGTGCCCTGGGCACTGCCAGGCCACCAGTTCGGTCTTTAGTTATCTGTTCCAGGCAGAGTTCAGTACTGTATCCCTTTCCTTACAATGAGGACACACATGCATCTAGATTCTATTCTTTCATCTACCTAAGAAACCCCAAACATACAAGATCTTACACAGGTGGAAAAGGCTAAACATGACCCTTGCTGGCCTCCTACCTATTTCTACAGCCCAAAGCCACATCATTGGTACCTAGAGATAAAGAATGCTAGCATAACGGCGGTCAGCACAACGGGCAAACCCCTGCTCATCACACAGCTCATGCTGAGGAAACCCCAAGTGCATGGTATCAAGATGGACTAGGAAAAAGATGGAAGACTGTTAGGGAAGGGATGGAAATTTCAACACAATGGCTAAGAGGATAAAGGCCTGAAGGCAGCCATCTCTGAGGCACAGACACAGGGAGAAGTAAAAATAAAGTGAGCTGGCTCCTGTGAGATGACAGCAAGCACCCTGGCTATGGGAACACACAAAGGAAGGGACACAGTGGGGCACCCACCAGGATGGCACAGGGCTGGAGGCCAGGAGGGGACCAGGCTGGAGAAAAACAGGAGTTGGGTTTAGACCAAGTAGTATGAGAAGTTTGTTTACCCAGGCAAGCAGCAGTTGGATGCTTGCATCCTGTGAGCCTTGGGGGCTGTCATGGGTACTGCCGTGGCCTCTAAGAACACATTTTCCACACCAGGGCTCCCTTCCTCCCCAGCGCTGTCTCACACTCCAAGGACCTGCTGCCCACCTTCTACTGCCAACTACAGATTAAGGTCTTTGGTTCCCTGCAGCATCCACAAAGCCCAAAGCAGTGGCTAGGGGTGGTGAAGTACTGGCGACGCCCCCAATAGAGGTAGAGTTAGGGTTACTCATCGGTGGTATAAACACACTGGATTGTAGATCCACAACCAATTTAGAGATGCCACTTTAGACAACGTCCCAACGCTCCGTGGCTGACAGGGTCACTACTTAGCTTCAGAGCCAATATGAGGGACACACATCTCTGGCCCAGGATACTGCCCAGGCAAACACAAGAAACTCTACTCCGTAATTAGACTGAATGGGATATTTCTCTATGTGGCAGATAAAAACAAAAAACACTTTAACAAAACCAAGCAATTTCGATCAGTAAAGGCCATGAATAAAACGGGAAAAATCTGTCACGCTCAGTATCTAAATACAGAAATCATGTAGAAAAGCGATACAATCATTCCTTACATTTTTTTTTTTTTTTTGGTACTGAGACTCAACTCACGACCTTGCACTTCCAGTGCCAGGCAACTGCTGTGCCACTGAGCTACCTCCAGGCTGTCAATCCTTATAACTGTCTCACATCACAGATTCCCCAGCACTCAAGGGTCGTCTCCATCATGCACTGTCCCGTAACTCCTGACCGGCTTCCCATCAGTCCATCTCCGGGGTTGGGGAACAGAGTCCCCCGCCGGGATAGCTTCTAAGCTGCCTAACTTCCCTGCTGAATTAAGTTTGCTTTCCCTCGCACATACTTCTTACTTTTTACACTGTCCCAGAGGAACCTCCATCCAAGGTTTCCACAACTGCCTCACAGATTCCTCTCAATCACATTTCCAGTCCTTAACCTCAGAGGAGTACGCTTAGAACCCCGCGACTCCTTAAGCAGCTTGCACGCAACTCAGCCCCGGAGACATGTTGCCTCTAGACCTGGCCTCAACACCAGGGCGCCCCAAGGGTGGCCGCACGGGAGCTGAGCCCACCCCGCCAGCCCGCGCCCGACCGCAGGGCACTCACACTCCATGGATGCGCTTGTGAATGTTGATGGTGTATTCTCGGGTCACCACCTCGTTGATGGCAGAACGGCCCTTCTTCTTCTCGCCACCCTTCTTTGCGGGAGCCATCTAAACGCAGGAGACAAGGAGGCTCTGAACAGGCAAAAATGGGACAAGCCCAAGCCGGATCTTCACTCCGGGCTTGGACAAATGTGGCCGGATGCATAGCTGGGCCAGGAGCCCAGGGCTGCGCATGACCAAGCCGTCATCCCGACGCGGAAACCCTGCGGCCCCGGCTTCCCTAAGCCGGGCCACTTTCCCTCCCAAGCTCCAGAGTTTTTTAACGCAGCACGGTTCCCTCTCCCTGGAAAGCAGAGCCCCTGAGCCAGCCCGGGGGAACCCCGCAGCTTCAGTCAGTGCACTCCTGGGGGAGGATGGAGCCGGATTACCGAACTCTTAAACTCCCAAGGATACTCACTCTGCCGGGGCCAAGTTGGAAAGGAAGAACGCGCAGGATTGTGGGACAGAAAGCCCAGTTGCGAGTATAACTTCCGGGTTACTAGGCGGCGAGGAGAGGAGGCGTGGCTAGAGAAGGGGAGCGACGACACAGTGACGTCACGAGGAGCGCCAGAATAGACCTGGCCTCGGGGGCGGGGCCTGGGCGAGCTACGGCTGCGCAGTCGGGACTGGCGCTCTAGTACGGGCGGCGTTAGCCGGTCCTATTGCTGTGAGCTTTGGCCTGGCTCTGGGAGAAGACAGCGGTGCCGCCCCCCCCCCCCATCCATCCTACCAGAAAACCAAAACCCATCCTATAGCTGGATAGGAGCAGGACCCCGGGCAGAAGACGCCTTTGTTTTCCCTTTCTTTGGGTTCGCTTTGCAGTCCCTGCTGCGGCTGTGTCGGGACCGGAGTAGAGGTCTGGAGTCCCGGCAAGGAACCCCGGCTTCTGCGACCGGTAGCTGCAGGGTGGGCGCAGTGTCTTCCGGCCTCCTGCCTGTCCTCAGGAGCAGGAGGTGGGGGTGCACAGGCATCTGAACCCCTGGCCCCCTCTTCTTTTATCGGAAAGCAGAATCCTTTCCAGCAACCCCCAGTGGCTTTCTGCTTGTTACTGGCAACGACGGAGACACGTGAGCAGGGTGGTAGAGCAAACTCCTGCCTAACGCCAATGGGATTACCAATTACCTTGGCCCACGGGCTTTGTGTTTTTCGCCTCGGTTAGGCAAATTACTGCCCAACAAAGCTTTCTAGAGGGGAAGCAAGGGAAGAGAACGTCAGGGTAACATGCCGGCAGGCTTCGGCTCTCTGCCTCATTTCCATATAACTGGAATATGAGTGGATCCTACTTATGGAAGCAAGCAGATCTCCTAGTGGGAATCTGTACAATGTCTTCTGGAGTGTCAGCTAAAGGGTCAGCCTATCCCCAGAGCTTGTTCACACTTGGGCTGCAAGAAAAGAAACTTGCCAGAACTATTCCAACAGCAAAAGTCAACCCTGCCCAGGAGGGTACCTGATGATGACCCTGTCGCCCTCTGCTGCTCACGCCTGGCTCACCTGCAGAGCCCCCCCTCCCCCAACAACCCTTAAAAACCCTTTTCCTCAAGCCAAATGGCTGCTATCTTAGTCTGCAAGGCAGTCCACCACCACCCCGCCTAATAAAGCTGTTTTCTTGCAGCAGAATGACTAGTCAGGCTTTGGGTGGCTTCTGGTCCGTCATCAGCCTTGCTCCCTTGAAGGTTGAACAGATGTGTAATAAGGACTGTTTAGTTTGAGGACTGACCTTGATTAGCCTGCCTAGAGCTCTGGATCTGTCCGACATTGCCAACTCATCTTTTCTTTCCAATTTTTTGTTTTATTTGTTTTTTGAGATAAGGTCCTACTATGTATTCCAGACCTGCCTTGAACTCACAATGTCTCCAAGTTGGCCTCTAACTCCAGATGATCCTCCTGCCTCAGGTTCCTGAGTGCTGAGATGACAAGCATGTGCCACCACACCCAGCTTCCTCCCAGTTTTATCCTGGCCAGTGACAGCAGCCAGAGTCCAGAACCACTTATTTACTAGGGTTGTCTTCTGCTCCGTAGCGCTCTGGGTTTGTTGGCTGTACTAATCACCCACAGCCTTTAGAGACTGCTAGAAAATACTTAAAATAAGATCTGACTGTTCTTGGTCAGGGCAGCAAGACAGAAGTCGACAGGCTGCAGTCCAGTCTTTGGGGGTCCAGTTTTTGGAGGTGACAAGGCCTGAGGGGCTTGAGGGGGACTTCCGTGAAAACATGAGGCTGGGCTGAGCTCCAGGAAGCTGTAGTACAACTTCCTAAGAGGAGCTGGAACACCTGTGACGGGGAAGAGGCCTGGGGAAGAAGGTGCTCAGGGAGGAAGTGTCCTGTGACTGGAGGTGGGGGTGGGGGTGACTTGTGAGGTCTCTGAAGAGGCTGTTGGTGTGGCCCTCCAAAAATGGGCCTGGGGAAGTGACTAAAGATGGGACAGAGAGGAGTGGGAGAATGAACTCTAGCCTTTCCGAAGCCCTCACATGGAGTGGCAATTTAGGAGAAAGACTTAGTGACAGACACCCTGGAAAGAATGGCTGTCATCAAGAAATCAACCAATAATAAATGCTGGTGGGTGTGTGGGGAAAAAAGGAGCCTTTTCCACTGTTGAAGTGAGTGTAGACTGGTGCACTCAATCCTCAAAGAGCAAGGGTTAGAGGTCCCATTGAACCCAGCTATTCCACTTATGAGTATTTACCCAGAAGAACTGAAAACATCACAGCACAGTGATATATATGTGCACCCATGTTTATAGCAGCACAATTTGTAATAGCTAAATCTTGGAAACAACCCAAATGTCCACCAACCAAAGAATGGATTAAAAAAGATGTGGTATTTTTATACATGGAGTACTACTCAGCTATAAAGGACTAACTTGAGAGTTTTATAGGTAAATGGGTGCAACTTGAGACCATACTCATTAGTGAAATAAATCAGACTCACACGTGTAAACATCGTGTTGTCTTCCTAATGTGAGAAGCTGAAAGAGTAAATAAGATCCAAAATGTACAACGGATATTGTGAAATGGGAAGAAACTGCTCAAAAGGAAAGAAAAACGGATGGGGGAATGGAGAAAAGAAGGAAGGGAAAAGCAAAATAACCCAAACCAAAACAAATATACATAATATATAACATATTAATATACAATGTATTATAATACATTATAACACATATATATTAATATATATAATGTATAATATATAATATATATTATAAATGATAGTTAAGATAGTTACACTAATTTCTCTTTACTCTTTGTTCATTGAAAAGAAAGTCTTATTTGGACAATTACTGCTTGGACAATTAAATGCTGGTATCCTGTACTCTGAATAACTAATTTAAAGATAACAATATGCAATATATTAACATTGTTATGTTCCTACTATCTTGCTTTGAAATTTGGCTTTATATATACTTTTTCTCTTTAGATAGAATGAAAGACTTGGCACTGGCCAGATTCCTCTCAGGCAGGATGACTGTTACCTGTCCACTCCAGTGGACTTCATGACTTTAAGGAAGCCCAGTTGGGATCAACCTCCTGACTTTCGTGTTCTGTTAAGCCATGGTGAAGTGCCTCGCTGTGTGGCCACCCAGAGTGTGCTCACACAGACCCAAGGTTTGTCTTCTGCACCCTGCAGCTGTGTAGTGAACGCCCTCTCCTGTGCGGTACACTGTGACAGAACCACGTGTGTGGTACACGTGTGTGGGGCTCAGCCGAGTCACGGCTGAGTGACCTGATGATAATGGGAATGGAAGCTGCACTTGTCTGGGGCAGGGGCAGGACAGGGTCTCACTATGTAACTCAGGCTGGTCTTGAACTCACTCCATAGTCCAGGGTGGCTTCCAACTCTCAGCTTCATTATTCCTGGCTAGAAGCAGCATTTTTACAATGCCAGTTCTCAGGCTCAACTGAGGCACCCCAGATTTTACAAAAAGGAATCAAGATGCTTTGGAAAGTAGCTGGATTTATGCCTTGGGGCAGGAGAAAATCTGGAATCTGGTTTTAGATACTGGTGAGAACTACTAGGAAGATAAAGGAACAAGCTCATGCTTACCAGGTAGGATTGATTTGGGCATAAAATAATGACAATGGTTAATTAGAAAAGCTGAGTTTATGAAGGGTCAGGAGTTCATGCTTAAAGCATAAAACGATTTTTAAAAAGAGAAATTAAGAGTCAATATAGCAGACACACTTCAAAGTGCTCAAAACTGGGCGTGGTGGCACACATGTGAAATCCCAGCACTCACAAGGCTGAGGCAGGAGGATTGCCAAATGTTCAAGACCAGCCTGGGATGCATATTGAGTTCAAGACCAGCCTGAATTACATAGTTGTACCCTGTCTTCACAAAAACCAACCAACCAGCCAAACAAGCAAAAAGAAGGCTCAAGCAAAAGTCCTACAAGAAATTTTTTTCTTTCCTGTTTGTTTCTTTTCCAATGAGCTTTTTCACCAGAAAAAGAAAGTTGTTTATTTGTGTAGTATAACATTCATGTGGGTCTGTCCAGAAAGCCATGATGGTGTTTAGCTGGAGGATCCACGATGGCTGTTTCTCTAGGGTGTGTGACTCTGAGACCTTTGGGCTGGGTATACCCAACAAGAAGACAGAAGCTGAAGAAATTTTATGCCAGATGCTCAAATGTTAGCAGAGCATTTAGGCAAGAGTGCAGAAATGTCACCCTTAGAACTGCCTAATAGGTTAGCCTGTTCACCAAGTTGTGTGTACAAACAAAATTGTAAAATAAATTTAATGAACTTTAGTTGCCATTAGAGACAGAAGATGCTACATTTTAATTGAGTTGGCTTTCAATATCTTAAGCTTAGTGGGTGTATCCCAGAGTTCACATTTCAGTTGTACATTTTTGAGCCAAGACTTTATAGTTTTCCAAATGGAAAGGTCATGGTTTTTCTGGAAATAGGACAATATTGCAAAATAGTCTCTTAATGAGCAAAGTTTAATGAATCAAAAGTTTAGGGCTTAAATTTCCCATATTTGTGGGCTTAGAGAAATGTTGCATAATAGAATTTTCTGAGTTTATCCAAATCCAGACATGTGTAAGATTTAGGCAGAGCTAAATTACATTAGTGGTGCAGCTTACTCCACCCTGTTTTAATGGTTTCCAGCTAGAAAATCCTCCCACAAGGAATAGGCCTGCCCATTGCAGAATCTTGTTCTACTTAGGAGTCTGCTACAAAGAAAATGAAAACACAAATTCTTTTACAGAAAAAAATGGGATCTCTAAATCTTTGAATTAAAAAAAGAATAAAAAAAGTGAATCCTGTTTCACAAGGACTTCTTGGTTTTAAAATTTCTAGCTTCCTCAGGGAGCAACAGTTGCTAGTTCAAATATTTTCCTTCTCTTTTCCTGTGGAGCAGAGCAATCACAAGTGTGTCCCATTGGATCTGCTCACCTGGCTCCCTCTCCTGCTATTCCAAACTTAGCCCTAGTCACAGAGTGGAGAGGAACTGTCCATTTCATGGAGGAAAGGGTCGAAGCACAGAGCCACCACACAGAGCAATGGGAGGATGCTAGCTGCCGTGGGCTCGCCCCTTTTTACTACCTCCCTTGGCTTTTATTTGTAATGTTTCAGACCTGGGAAACACTTGCTAGGCAAGTGATCCACCGTGGAGCTCAGTCCCAAAGCCAATCTCTCCTCCTCAATTATCTATTGTTTTGTCACTGTAATGGAAAGCTAACACATAACCATTTGCAAATTTTTGATTATCTTTGAAAGATCTTGAAATAAAGTTTCCCAGTAGAACTATGCATGCATGGATGTATAACAAAGGACAGAGAAAATCGTATAAACTTGTTAATTTATTACAAAATGTCCACTCACAGGAAAACACAAGAAAACTTTTTTATATTTTTATATTTGGGAAAAAGAACTGGCGTCTCAGATACAAAATAATTTACACATAATCCATACAATTTTATTTTATATAGAAATAGGTCATTATTACAACAGCTGTACAATTCGCTCACTTCTTCTTATAATTACATAAAAATCTTTCCTTTAGAAACATCCCAACGTAACAAAACATACAAAAAAAGCAAAGTGCATTTGAAAAGGAAAAACCCAATTCTTGGAATCATCATGAAGAATAAGTAGAGATGCAGCATCTTCACTTAAGGGGGGCTCCGGTCCTGCACCCCTGGGGTGAGGGCCTGGCCTGGGAAACCTCTTCCCTCTTAAGAGTTCTCTACAGAATTTTGCATTAGCTGCAAGACTGTGCTTTGCTTGGAGTTCACCTTTGTGGTTGCAGTCAACAAAGTAAACAGGAAATTGTCCAGTGTCATGTGTAGGGGTCCTGGGGCGGGGCTTTGGAGAGTGCGGTCCCTCGGGGTGGGGGCTGCAGAGGGAATGGTCTAAGGCTCCGTTAGGAACAAGCAACCTTGCTGTCTGATTGGCAGGCCATTTTTATCACTGTGGGCTCCCAATAAAGGCATGAGACCTTATTATTTTTAAGAACAGAAAGTGCCTAAGTTACTTCCTCGGTGCAGCTGTGCAAATTAAAGCAAAACAAAAACAACCATTTAAAAATAATGAAAAATAATCTTTTTATTCTCTCTCTGCAACAGATCATGGACCCAGTCCTTCTCCAATGCAAAGGAAAGACCACTGAGACTGAAGGCCAGCTGGGGCGTGGGGACAGGGCCACTCTGTGGAGTAACCAGTGCACTCTCCAAGGAGATGACCAGGCTGCTATCTCCGCAGGTAAACTGAGTCATGTCGCTATTTGGGCACACGGTTCCATCCGGTATGGCTGTAGAGGGCGCCCGAGAACCTCGCGGCGCTCGCGGTGTCCGGAAGCAGGGCTTTGGCTCGCACAGCTCTGCCTGGCTCTGGTCGCCGCCCAGCGTCCATCGGTTAAAGCTGAGCATGTCCGACTCCAGTACCAGGCACTATCGAGGCGGCTGCTGCAGGCCCGAGGCCTCTGACACGCGGCTGACCCTGCGGGGTGGGCGTGTGGGCTGGGACTGCACGGCGGGCGGCGGGGCATAGCTCAAGGTCCCGGGCTGCTGGGCGTAGGTGGAGAGGAGCAGCGAGTCTGGCTGCTCACTGTGCAAAGAGGTCGGCGCCTGTGCCAGGGAAGAAAAGAGAGGCTGCAGACCGGGCAGTGGCCGTCAGCCCCTGCGCTGCCTCCACCCTCCCTTCAGTGCCCTGGGGGCTGGGGTCCAGGTTGTGCTCACACTGTGGGGCTGTCCTCCTCCTGCTTATCCTCCCCCTCCGATGGCAGGGTGGCACATCGGGAGAGGGGGCTCTGTCTACACCTAGCGGGCGGTGGGTGGAGGCGAAAGCAGCCTTAGCTCTCCCTGCGGAGGGGATTTCTGAAGCCAAGCTCCCCATCAGCACCCGGGTCGCTTCCGGCCCAGTGTGCCCTGGCTGAGGCTGTGGGGATGTGGCCTGCGTGGCCTTAGGTGATGGAGCCTGGGGTCTTGTGCAGACGGCCAGTGGGACAGGATCTGCACACCTGTGCAAGGCGCGATGGGAGGTATAGTGAGTACTTCTATAAAAAACGACTTCAGTGAAGCACTGCCTTGAACCCCTGCCTTACTTTGAACACACCCATCTCACGGGTCTCTGAAGCAGCTCTGGAGCCCTCTTTCATGAGTGTCTTTATGAAGTGAGATTAAAAAAAAAAAATACAGTGAATGTTGCAGGCCAGCACCACTGGTGCAAAGGGAAGTTGTAGGACACATGACGCTTAGCGCTCCTCTCCTGGAACTGTATGACTTCTGGTTCTCCCCAAAGTCAAAATGATAATGGAAGGTCAATGCTTTGAATGGATTCAGAACATCAAGGCAACCACTAAAACACAACTAAAGACATGCAGGAATGAGGACTTCCAGAGCTGCTGCGGATGTGGGGGGAAGTCGGGAAGGGTGCTGGAGGGGAAGAGGGGTTTGCAGGGGATTAACAGCAATGCGTCTTGTACTGAAATACAGTGAGAGCATGAGCTGGCAGCACATTCCTCCCCCGCCCGCCTCTGGGTCTGCATGCTTCCCCCTGCTGGCCCTGGTCCTACTGTGCCCAGCAGTGCCCACTAGGAAACACCCTGAAGTGCAGAACCCTATGCCTTGGATGCCTTGGTCTCATTTCCCATTCTTCTTCCCAACCCGTTCGCCTCTGAGGAACTCAGTACCCTGAGCCCACTTCTGGAGCTGCCTGGCACCCACTTCCCATGCCACGGCCTTCAGCTCCCCTTTTCCCTCTGTTGAGGCATGTCCTGCACCGATGCCTCCGAGGAGCTCCCTACCCCTGCTCTCCTCTGTGCTGCTCCCAGTCTGGCTGTGCCCCACGGGTCCCCACAGTCCCCACAGCCCACTCAGGTCCCGAAGTCAGCGAGCGGGTCAGAGTGCTGCATCCTGACCCGGCATCTGTGCCACAGCTCTGCTCCTCCTCCTCTTCTCCCCTCCTCCCTGTCCTCCCCAGGTCCGGGCTGTGCCCCAAGACTGGCAGATCTGCAAAGCTGAAGCTAGAGCTGAGCCTGCCCACAGTGGGGGGCTGGGAGGCTGGCGAGTGACTGAACAGGTGGCTCCAGACTTTGGAGGAAGTCACAGCCCACACCCGAGAGGGTGACGCTCTCCATCTCCGTCCACGGTCCTCAGATGGCCCCTGGCCCTGCTGGAGCAGGAAGTCCTGGGCACAAGAAGCTGAAGGGGCAGCTTCGGCGGGCCCTGGCTCCCATCTGAATTTCAGACTGAGGGCTCCCACCCTCCTCCCTTCTAATGTGTTTGACACCTTTGTGAAATAATTTTTGCCCCATAAGTAGTAAACATTGCTCCATATTTCTGGGCAAGGTCCAATGTCACACAGCATTGCATTTATTAAATGCAATGGGTATTTAAATGTGATTTGAATTCATATTTGTGTAAGACTTTTCTTGTTATTTACTTATTTTTAGTTGTTGAGACAGGGTCTCACTATGTAGCTCAGGCTGGCCTTGAACTCATTATGTAGCCCAGGCTGGTGTCAAGCTTTCGGTGATCCTCTTGTCTCAGCTTCCTGAGTACTGGGATTACAGCTGTGTTGGGACTATGCCTGACCTTTGTTTTTCATTTCTGAGACAGAGTCTCATTTCATTGCCCAAGCTAATCTTAAACGTTTTTTTTTTTGTTTTTGTTTTTGTTTTTTTTTTTTTTTTTAAAGACAGGGTTTCCCTATTTACTTCAGGCTGGCTTTAAACTCACTATGTAGCCCAGGTTGGCCACAAATTGGTATTGATCCTCCTGCCTCAGCCTCCTAAGTGTTCAGATTACAGGTGTACACTATGGTGCCGCCTTAAATTTGTGATTCTCCTGCCACAGCCTCCTGCATTTCTGGGGTTACAGGTATAACCCCGGTTGTGTAAAACTTTATAATGTACCACAAAGGCCAGCCATAGCCGTCACTAAGGTTTGTTCCTGCTCTAATAAACATGACGGAGCAAGGCGCAAGGGTAGGAACGTGACTTCCTCCAAAGGACCTCAAGAGACCAGGGCTGCATCTTCGTCTCTCCGGCTCCAGATGCGGGGGTTTAAAAGCCTCAGGTGTCAAAAGCAATTGAGCCCTGGACAGAATCTGTCAGGCCGACTGACCTGGACAGCAGGAGGGGACCTGGCCTTGCTCTGAGCCCCCCTCCCGGCCCCCAGGTCCCGATCGATGCCCACCTGCAGGTAGCGAGGTGGTGGCTGCTGTTGCTGCGGGCCTGGCTGGGAGGCGGGGAAGCTGGGGTGTAGCACTGCCTGCCCCATCAGCAGGACAGGTGTTGTGGTGCTGCTGCTGGTCGGGTGCGAGTCCAGACTTGGGAACACGGACTGGCTCGGTGCAAACCTGCTCGTTTCACGAGGAGAGAGGAAAACAGAGCCTTTAGGAGACCATCGTTGATGTGACACCAGAAGCACAGGAAATGACACAAATCGGTAAAATGGCACAGAAAATTTTGCACATGGAGGACGCTGTTAGCACAGGGGAAGGGTGGCCCATGGGCTGGGAGGAGACATTTGCAAATCCTCTGTCTGCAGAGGCGGGTGCTGGGGACCTGTTGAGCATTCTCCCAGCTCCATCATTCCCACAGCCACCAACCAGTGACATCCACAGAGCAGTAGAGAGGGCAGGAGGAAATGGTCCCCAGAGAGGAGCTTTGGGGGCCAGAGGGCAGTCCCCACCAGAAGTAAACAGGGAAGCACAAGTTGGGACCCTAAGGAGCCGCCGTTTCATATCTATTACCATGAGGCTTATATTAAATAAAACCCAATAAACAGAGCTGGGTGTGGTGGCACACACTCATAATCACTCCAAGAGGCCGAAGCAGGAGGATCTAAAATTTGATCCTCCTGGGGCCGGGGAGGGGACAGATTTAGGGACTTGACAAGACCTTATCTTAAAATAAAAAATAACAGAGGCCTGGGAAAGTAGCTTAGTGCGATGGCCCTGGCTCAAAGACAAAAGCAGTTAGAAACAGCATGTGTTGATAAGGATGTAGAGACTGCTGCGCACTGGTGCTGGGAATGCCAAAGCTGATCTTGAACTCTTTTTGGTTTATTTGTTTGTTTTTGAGGCAGGGTCTCCCTATGTAGCTCAGGCTGGCTTTAAACTCACTGTGTAGCCCAGGCTGGCCCCAAACTGGTAGTGATCCTTCTGTGTCAGCCTCCTGAGGGCTCTGATTATAGGCTGAGCCCTTGGAGGCTGAGTCAGGAGGAATGGGAATATCAAATGGTATAAAACAATACACAGAGTCCTCCAAACATTAAACCCAGAATGACCCTGGGATCTAGCAGCTCCACTTCTGGGTGTACACCCACAGATGCCAGGAGCAGGCACTGGCACACACACAGAAGCGCTGTTCACAATCATGCTGAGAAGCAGAAGCCTCCCAAGCGGAGTACTACACAGCCTTGAAGGGGAGGGGCTGTGACACGTGCTGTGGCATTGGCGATGTGAGGGATTCAGGATGTGTGAATATACCAGCTGCCAAAGGACCAATGGTCTGCGTGGTACCAAAACAGAACCACAGAGCTGAGAAGTGCAGGCTAGACTTTCCCAGGCACGGAGGTGCAGCGTGGGAAGACGAGAAAGCCCCAGAGAGCGCGGTGGTGCTGAGTTGTCTCACAGCAGGGTGGATGTGCTCAGTGCCCCAAAGTGGTGAGGCGGTGAATATTGTACCAGGTGCTCACTTGAGCCAGGATCGAGGCCGAAGCCCCTTGGGGCAGCCTCTGGAGAGTGCCCCAGCAACAGCTTCCACCAGGACAGTGGGACAGGTGAGGCCGCTCCTGCCTGTGCGGCCGCAGAGGGACACAGAAGGACGGCAGGGCTCTGTCCTGGTGACCCTTGAGCCCCAAGTCCCCGAGTTCACACTACACTGACTCTGGCATCTCAGTCCTCAAGGGGTGGGAACTTCCAGGATGAAGGGTTCACCCTGCTGTCTGCAGGGGCCCCACTCCCCTGAGGTGGCAGTGGACACCTGCTGTGGTCCTGGGTTCCAGAGAGCAGAGGCCAGAAAAGCTGCGGTTTGAGGGGGGACCCCAGGGAGCACCTCGATATCTGTGCACAGGAGTGATCAGGGCCAGAGGAGGTCCTGGGGGTGGGGTCTCGTGAAAGAGACCCTAGCCGGCACCATAGCGGTCTGTCCACAGGTGCCTCTGCCCTGTGATAAGGCAGGATGGCCTCCCAAATGCAGGGTACCCCCAGCTCCAGAGCCATGACCCATACCTCCCAACACTTCCACTGTGGTTTCTGAGACACGTTCTCAAACTATAGTGCCCAGGCTGGCCCTGAATGCTTGGTGATCCTCCTGCCTCAGCCTCCTGAGTGTTGGGATCACAGTTCCAGAGTACAGGTCTAAGAGCAAGGTGGGACCAGCATGGGGACACCCGCCTCGCCTCCCTTGCCACCTACTTGACATGCTGTCCCGTCCTGCTGGCCTCTGCGGGTGGCCTTGCGTCACAGGACCCAGGCATCATGGGCTGGATTGGCTGGCTCAGGAGCAGCCTTGGAGCAGAGGATGAGAAAGGACCAAAGTCAAACGCAGCCAGGTGGCCAGCTGTCCAGCTCCCACTCTGCGTTCAGCGGGGCCACCTCCGGGCCACCAGGACCCTGCGCCCTGTCCCGCCACCTCCTGCACAGCCCTTGGCCACTGGCGGAACTCCACCTCCCTCCCAGGCAGACATTGGGGAAGAGTGTACTTGGCGCCTCAGTTTCCCTTTTCATGCAGCTGGGTGGGCAGCATCGCACCTGAGCTGCCGGTCGTGGCTGAAGTCGGGGCCCGGCTGGCTGGCATCCTGGGAGGTGGGCACGGGGGCAGCCAGACTCAGAGCTGGGGGCAGCAGTGCTGCGGTGCTACCGAAGGGGGGCGGCAGGCTGGCGGCCAGGCGGCTGCTCCCCTGCACCACCTGGGGGCTTCGCATGGGCTTCGGACCCTGGAGCATCAAAGTTGAACAGGAAAGAGAAAAAAATTCAGACGAGCTGAGAGTGGTGCGGCACGCCTGCAATCCCAGCAGACCAGGAGGCTGAGTCAGGAGGATCGCAGTTCAAAACCAGCCTTGAGCAACATGGCCACTTCAGGAGACCCTGCTACTGAATACAGTGAGGAAAGGCTAGGGCTGAGGCTCAGCGTGAAGGCTCTAGGTTTGAGTCCCTGTGGAACAAACAAAACAAATGGAAGAACAAAAATCTTACACTCAGCTCAGGTCATCTCCACAGGAAACATTCCAGGTGCAGAGTTCCTCCTCCCTGCTGGGGTTTCCGCCCTGAGGTACTGAGGTGCTGAGCCCTTTCATGGTTACCACTGGCTTCCCATTGGGTGGGAGGCTCCAAAAGGACCCTGGGGTCCCTCCCATCTTGGCCAATGCCTGTTTCTTAGTGGCCAAGTAACACATGTGCCTTGAACCAAAGCCTTTTGCTTTGCAAATTCTGCCTCAGATATACAGGCTCTACCAGGCCTCTCACTGCCCCAGGGCCTTTGCACAAGCTAGTCTTCTGTGTGAGATGTCCTGCTACTGCCACTGCCGAGGTCCCACAGTACTACCTTCTCTGAGAAGCTCCCCCTACCCTGGCCACCTGTTTAAACCTCTAATTGCCCCCCACCTGGCTTTCCTACCCATAGAATGACGCAATGTGAATTTTATTCTCTCTCTCCCTCCACTGGTTTCTGTTCTTGCCCCGTTTTCACCCAGTGCACAATGCCTGTCTGTAAAGGCTGGCCCAGACGTGATGGAGGGGGGCCTGGCTTTGCTTTGCAGTCCCACCTGTTGCCCTGATGCCCCTCTCCCCAACGACACCATCCTGCGGGATCCAGCAGTGCAAATCCTGTTCATTTTCTCTTTTCTGGAATTTCCTTGGCTAGTTCTCAGCCATTCGTTTTTCTGAGGAGCTTTCAAGTGAACAGCCCGTTTCTAGGCAAAACCCTTCCATGTGGATAAGGAAGGGCCACGGGTCCTTGGCATCTGCAGTCCGTTTGTGCTCCACACCCACGAATTCCGTCCACCACTGTTCAGAAGTAGTAGACAAACAATGTCTGTCCTGGGTGTACACAGGTCTTTCCTGTCTCAACTCCCTGAGTGGCACAGCTTGTTCCATGGCAGGGGTGGCGTGGAAAGTGTTCAGGGTGGTTTAAAGCATAAGGGGTACGGCATCACAGTAGAGAATTTGCTGGTGCTCGTAAGCCCCTGGCTTCTGCCCCCAGCGCTAAACAAATAAAAAGTCTCCAGGGGGACTTGGGTGGCTTCTAAGCAAATACTGGGCCATTTTAGGAAAGAGACTTAGAACACCTGGTACCCACTTGGGCCTTGAACCTGTGCCCTCCGGTGCTGAAGCCATGTCCTGGCGGATGGCGGGGCTATGAGTGGCCTCTACTGAGCCGCTCAGGCCGCAAGAGAAGGGCTTGGCAGGGACCTGGGTGGCCCAGAGCAGCAAGGCTGTCCCTGGTGAAGGGACAACGATTGAGGGGCTGCTCCGGTGGGCAGTGTCAGAAACCAAGAGCAGGTGAGGGGGTGGGGGACAGGTGTGCCAGGGCCAGCAGCGTGAGGGCCGGGGTGTCCTCTGCTCCAGCTTAGTGTGGAATGGAAGGGGAAAGCTGCCTGAGGTCTTCAAGAGCAAAGTGGAACATCTGGTGGGAGGCCAACACAACTCGGACTACAGAGTGACTTTAAAAAATGTAGAGAAAAATCTACCCTAGTCCAGGGGAGCAGCCACTGTCATCTTCCAGGTCTCGTCACTGTAGGGACCAAGCAGGTTCTGGTTTGCATACAGGGACCGGGGCATGCGTACCTGGCTGGAAATCACGATGGACTCTCGGAGCAGGTGCTGGCTGGTGACCTGGGCAGCGGCCATCTGCCCTGGAAGCTGTGGGCTGGTCACGAGCTGGGGCTGCGACACGGCAGCCACCTGCTGTGGCAGCTGCTGCTGCTGCTGCTGCTGCACCTCGGGCCGCTGGGCACTGCTGAAGCTCAGGGAGATGGCTGGCTGCTGCAGGAACATCTAGGGGAGGAGAGAAACGGCTGGAAGGGGGCAGGCGGCCTTGCAGGTCGCACCTGCTCTGTGTGCCCTGTCGCAGGAAGGGGGTCGATCTGAGGGTCCCCTAAATGGCCTGGAAATGATGTGTTGACTCAGCAGATGCCTAGGTTGGGACTGGACAGAGCAGTCAGGCTGGGGAGGCACCAGCTCTGCCTGCACAAAGGTCGTCAGCAAGGGCTCAGGTCTGATGGCATGAGAGAAGCTGGGAGCCAGGCACTTTAGGGGTAATTCGATGCCCTTGTTGACAGCTAACATGTGCTGTTTCTATCAGAAGGAAGGTACCTGGGGGCTTTGTGTCTCTGGGTTCAGTACCTGCACATCCAGCCCTCTTGGGTCAGAAGGATTTGGGAAAAAACCGCATCTGTTACCAAACGGTACAGTTACCATCTTTACATTCCCTAACAATGGTGGACGATGGGTATTCACACAGCACTTGCCAGGATCAGGGAGGTGGACACTATAAACCGGGGCGATTTTTGGGGTGCACCATGCTGCTTCCCACAAAGGGTTCAAGTGCTGTGGGTTTGGGTATCTGAGGGCAAAGCTGGGGCCCAGCCCTCGTCAACCAGAAGGCTGCGTGTATTTGATTCAAAGCTGTTAAGTGCTTAGGAAGATTTTACTTGTTATGCTTTCTTTGCTAGGTGCATGAAATGTCTGGCAGATTGAGATGTGTGAAATCTGCCAGGAGACGGGTTTGAAGATGTTGATTATTCCTAATTGCTGAAGTTATAAACCAAATGAACACAAATGCACACAAGGGGAAGCACAGTTCTTGTAAGGCTGAACCAGCGGACTTGTAAGAAAAATTGGAGCTGTCAGCTGACTCTGGATGTTGAGGGCAAAGAGCTTTAGATGATTTCTGTAATAATTTAACTGAGGACCTGTCGATACCTCTTTTAGCAAAACCCCTTTGGCATCCCGAACACCTGCTAATCTTAGCCGTGTCGCCTTCCATTGTGGGGTTTTCAGGGGGCGCTGCCTCCTCTGGCACCTGCATGTTCCACCCAGACCCGGGACCCAGTGCCTGGCAGGCACAGCTGCAGTGGGCCAGGCGTGGCTGGGCAGGTGGGAGTGGTGCCCATCGGTGCTGGGAGGGGCCCCCGGCTGGCTCTCAGGGGCTCATTCCTAGTGGCCAGATTGCTAGGCAGCCACCAGTGCGGCCCTGCGGCTCACTCAGTCGCCCTGAGCTCTTCTGTCTCCTGCCTCCTCTCACTCCCCACCCCAGTCCCGAAGCCTGAGTTCCAAACAGGACACTGTCAGGGACAGGCTGGGAGGCTGTGCTGTGCAGTCTCAGGGCAGGATGAGTGTGACAGGATGAATGTGAGCCCCTCTGTGCGTGGCTCGTTCACAGCTAACAGGTAACCTTTCCACCGCCTCAGTGAAAACCCAACCTTCAAACCCAATTACCAGCTGCTTATTGGTAGGATCCAGTGTGCCTGATTAGAAATCAAGCCAGACATTCATTATCATCTAGCTGAAGAGACGCTGTGTCCAGTCACAGCCCACCCTGCGCTAGTGGGAGAACATCGGCGATTTCATCGCTCTGTGACTCAGTTTCCCCACATAAGTCAGCATCACTGCCAGCCTCACAGAGGGTTACAGGAGCTCAGGGCATACAAAGACCTGAGACTCAGAACCGGTGAATGAACGTTAGGTAACAATAATACAAAAAAGTTAGGCATGGTAGCACACGCCAGTAACCGTAGCACTTGGGAGGCTGAGGCAGGAAGATGGTGTGCATTTGAGGTCAGCTGGGATACACAGTGGTTTGAGCCCAGCATGGACTACAGAGCGAGACCCTGTCTCAAACTACCCCCACTACTCTGCCCTGCAAATGTAAAAGAAATGTAAAAGGAAGGATACTTCTGCTCCTTTGACTCAGGGCATATTAAAATTGTCTGATGAATGAATGAAAAAAATACATGAATGATTGAGCAAATGAAACATTTTGCTTAAAGCATTTCCACCTGTGCCCTGTAACAGACTGTTTCTGCATCTCTGTCCTGTGGAGGTTGGAGTTTGTTTGTGGCAAGGGACACAGGTCCTTGCCATTGCTAGCAATGTCTTGGTCAGCATTCACCCAGGCAGTCCACACTCCCCAGGGGAGCACACACTGGCCTTGCCCTCACTGTGGGCCACAGGGCTCCTCTAGAACAGCCATGGTCCAGCAGGGTCCCGCAGAACCCCCACAAGATGCAAACACCGGGCTGTAGCCTGCGAGGACCTTCCCTCCTGACCAGTTGCAGGGTCATACTCAGCAAACCCACACACAAGGCCTCACAGGCAGTTGTGGAAGGGGACACAAGACAGGAAAGGTCCACTGAACTGGGTGGGGCAGAAGACCCCAGAGGGAAAGCCTGGTTTGCATGCTCAGCCATAAGCAGAAGTGGGTTTTTGTTGTTGTTGGTTTTGGTTCTGTTTGTGACAGGGTCTCGTTAAGTAGTTTGCCTGGTCTTGAGCTCCCTACCTAGCCCAGATAGGCCCTGCACTCATGATCCTCCTGCCTCAGCCTCCCAAGTCTTAGGGATTACAGGCATATGCCATCACATCTGGGCTAATAAAGTAGGATTTTATGGTTTAAGGAAATGACTTCCTAAAAGGGTTTGGGGATCAATTTTATAGAAAATATGTGAAAAGAAAATAGTTTCCTAATTTGAGGAGGAAAATTGTCAGAGGGGAAAAACATCCCTAATATTGAGGAACAAACCCAGCCTGCACTCACCAGGATTGCCTGTTTTTCCCATCTGCTCACTTTCCTGAGCTCTGGCCATTGTGAGCTGCAGCAGAGGCACACAGCCTGGGACACTCCTGTGAGCCCTCACACGCTAATGGGCGTGGTTGGGATTCCAGGGTCGCACACTCCTCTCCCTCATCCCTGCCTCACCTGTCCTTGCTGCAGGGCCAGCGGGCCGGAGAACTCCCCTTTGCTTATTCTGTGCATGGAAGAACATAGTTGTTCAGTTTTTCTTTCCCTGTCTTTTCTTTAAACAGCTGCCACATTTTGGTTAAACCTTGTGAATCACCTCTCTAAGTCTTGTGAATAAAACGAGAAGGCTGACAGTGAGAGAAAACTCTCTGTGGATTTCCATATTGTCTGGAAAATTCCAACACAGTGATAAGGACAAAGGAACAAACTTGGGGAAGGAAAGGACCTAGAGGAGGAATGAACTGAGGGCCTGATGTCCCGGTCACCCCGAAAGCACTTGGCCGCTTCTCTGCACAGGGGTCTCCTGTATGAACCAGGGAAGTCACCGAGGGGGGAGCAGGAGGCAGAGGAGCCAGGGCAGGGCTCTCAGCAGTTGCCGGCTCAATTTCCCCTCCTGAATTGGGCAAGTTCGGGGTTACCAACCTCACCCTGAGTTCAGCCAGGAAACATTACAGTGGGGATGAAATAAGCAACAGAGGACGACAGCTTCATTACCCTGCTTCCTCTCATCAGAGTGGGGTGTCACTGAGGCGGGGGAGTGTGGACACAGGTGGGAGGGACCACTGTCCCCCTGGGGTCTCCTTGCCTGTAGGCAGAGCTGGGAAGCAGATGGCCTGACAGAGTCCTCTCCAGCCGCCAGTGAGACCACAGAGCCTGCCGTCTCGGGGCTCCTAAGCTTTGGGAGTGGGGTCATCAGGTGGTGGGGGTCTCTGTGGCAGGGATGGGACAGCAGCAGGGACAGTACTCTGTCACCCCCACTTCATCTCTCCTAAATGCTTGCGGTTCCCAGGACTTATCGCCAAGGCTGATGAGGATGCAGGAACACAACTGGGCTGCAGTGAGTAAAACTTGGCAAAAAGTTTTACTAAAATCTACCCTTGAAAGAGAGCCTGTCTGTTGTTTTCCCTCCTCCTAAGAAACTGTTCAAAAGGATTCTGAGAACTGACGTCTGGGGGTCCCAGTGGTCTTGATGCCTGCCCCACCCCCCGGGGCCCTAGGAGGGCTGGTGGAAGGTGACTGAATTCTGGGGAATTAGTGCCCACTTGCTGTTGGGGGTGGGCTCTGGCTGGAAGTGGGCGCTCCATGGGGGTGTGGCTTGGGGAGCTCTGTCTCCTGGCTCCTTCCAGACTCTCTGCTTCCTACCAGCCATGCGTGGAGCAGCTCTTCTCCATCAGATCCTTCTGCCATGTGGTTCTGACCAGATCCATCGACCACCCAAGGACAGGGACCATGAGAGTGAAGCCGCCATGTAGCCCACACTGAGACTGCACCCAGCAGGAGGAACATGCCAGATGCATGAATGACCATGTACTGGGGCAGCAAAGAGAATGCGTTCCCCAGTGTGAGAGTGAGGAACCTCATGGGCGGCCCAGAGTTGGAGACAGGAGCGGATCAGGGAGCCCTGCATGCTGTGGAACCAGACTGAGGGCCATCCCGGGACAGAGAGTCACCTGCACGCTGGAGTCCTGCACCAGGCACAGCTGCTCCTGGATCTTGTGGAGCTCTTCCTGCTGCCACCGGATGTTGGCCTGCAGCACCCGAGTCCGCTGCTCCAGCTGGTCCTTGATGGTCTGAAACATGCTGAGCTGTGCAGAGAACTTTCCGGCAGAGGGAGGACACAGCAGGTCAGAGAAGAGGTCAGTCTGGCCAGGTTTCTCCACCACTGGTCCCACCAGCCCTGGCCACTTTCTTTCTGGTACCCTGGTCATCCTCCCTGGTATCCCTATACCATGGGGTCACAGGGCCCCAGCTGTCTGTCCTTAGGCTGGGATGACAGCAGGGCACATTTACTGTCTGACTGCTGGGAGCCCGCTCAGAATTGGATGTTCCCAACTGAATCAGGTGGACAAAAGACTTGGGAGACAAAAGTCACAACAGGGCACCTGAGAGTTCCTTAGCCTTCTAGAGTGAGGCAGATGTAGCTGACACTCTGACGGCCTTTCTAGGCCCTGTCATAGCCTGAGTCTGACGCTGGCTGTTTCCAAGCCCGCCTAGGGCCCCAGAGGCTGCTCCCTCCCCTCCGCATGCACACCCAGGAGAGGAGACAGCCTTGATGTCCCCCAGGGTGACTCTGGCAGGGGCCTGCAGAGGACCCATGTCTTCTCTGCGCAGCGCACCTCACTGCTCTGCTCTCAGGCCCTTGGCCCCTTCTGGGACAGGGGTCTGTCCTTCAGGCGCCTCAGCTGGGGGCACGCGGTCTCCTGGGCTCTCAGCCCTAAGGGGGCACTCCGGGCTGTGACTCCTCTTTATTCTTTTCTTTTCATTTCCCCCTTCTCCCTCCCGTCCTGATTGCCGCCCACCCTTCCTCCTGGGCCCCTTTTGGCTTAACGCTTCCTGTCATTCCCTCTTTTTGTGCCCATGAACTTGAGGATGTGTCTGGAGTCTACAGCCTTCTGACCTCCTCCTCTCCAAGGAAAACCAAGGGGACCCCCCAACAACACAGGAGGGAAAACCTGGCGCCTCTCCTTGCCTCCTCATTCTCTGCCAGCGGGACCGCCTCTAGGAGGCCACAGGAACTGTCCTGTCACTCATCCTGCAGAATCACAGGCCTCATCACAGCAATTTCTCTCTGTATCCGCCTGCCCCTCCCCTTCCTTCCCGGAACCAAGAGCAAGGACCTTGTTCCAGCCCTCTCTGTACTCCCCATCACAGCTTCCTCAGTGTTACCAAAGGAGGGAAGGAGTTACCCACAACACTGTAATCTTTAAGAAAACGCTACTTATAGCTCTGGACCCAGAGCTTTTAGAACCTGCCAGATTCTTCTTATGCTACGTGGCTTAATTCAGATCTTTTCTAAAACACCACGGCTACTTGGGCTTGGTCAACCATGAAAGCCATGTGGATGAGTGGGCGGAGCAAAGACCAGAGGTGGACATGAGGTGAGAAACACACAGGGAAAAGAGTGCTTAGGACGCAAGAGGTGCAACTAAAAACAGGGTGGACATTTAGATTGAAAAAATCTTACAGTCAAGGACACATCGCCAGGAGCCCCTCAAACCCTCCCTCACAGTGGACACACACATGCCCTGGTTCCTGCTGCTTTCTGAAGCAGCTCTGGAGCTCTCATTCTTGAGGGTCTTTGGTGATGCTTGGGAGGCTGCTTGGCCATTAAAAAAGATTCCCTTTCAGGGTCACTTTGACTTTGAGAAACAGTCTGAAGCCACACAGTGCCAGATCTGCTGAATGAAGCATTGGAGGACGCAGGTCCTGTTTGCACGAGCTCCCTTCCCAGTGGGCGGCACTCAGCAGCAGCATTCACTGAGTCTTTGACCTTACCTCCTAAAGACACTCATGAAAGAGGGCTTCCAGAACTGCTCCAGAGGCTGAAGAGTCGTGGGATAAGCAGATTTGGAGCAAGCTGGGGATGGGTTTCGAGGGAGACAATGCCAATGTGTCTTTTGCCATAAGAGCTGTTGAGGATCTCAACATTCAGGGGCTGGGGATTTAGCTCAGTGGCATAAGTACCTGCCTGGCAAGCATAAGGTCGTGAGTTCGATCTCTGACATCAAAAAATAATAAAACAAAACAAAAGAAGATCTCAGCATTCCCTGTACACAGCGACCTCCCATTGTAGGGGGAGGGACCAGAACAGCCAAGGAGGACAGCTGCACAGGTGGGGTTCTTCCCTCTGCTTGCCCTGCCTGCACCTTGGGAGGAGTTGCCCCATGATGGCTCTGGTTGGGGCCCACGTGTGTGACCCACATCAGCACCAACAGCTCTGGAGGATGCCAGCCCCTGTCCCAAGTCCCAGACCCACCTGTGCCATGGGGGCAGGTGGACTCTGCAAGATGGTCTGAGGCAGGAGCTGCTGCCCGAGGTCACAGGATGAGGGGGAAGACAGAGGTGCCTGAGATAGAGGGGAAGGGGGGCTTTGTCAGTCAGTGCTGGGATCCTGATCCCACAGAGGCGCTGGGGCTGTGGGCACAGGTTTGAAATCCTGAGCTTTGTCTGTAAAATCCCCTTGGATTCTGCATCTGCACACATCCACATCAGCTTTGTTACATATATTTAAAACCAGTTGCTCAGTAAGTGACTCCACATCCTCTCCACCCCAGACCCTCTGTCTCCAAGGGAAACGGGCTCCCCAGGGAAGGGACAGCTCCCCGAGTGGTCACACCCCTTGCCAAGAAGCTTGGGTTGCACACATACTGGCATCGTGGCTGCCTGGCTGAGCCCGGGCACTGGTGCTTCTTGGGGGAGGGTGGTCGAGCTGGGCATAGCTTTGGTGCTAGCCTCGGCCATCAGCTTGGTCGGAGTGGCTGTAAGAAAGCAGGGAGTGCTTTAGTGATGCCCACGTCCTTCCTTGCTGTCTGAGTGGGAGGGGACTGTGTGGGGGACACCAGAGCTGGGTGGACCTCTGAGGTCAGAGGTCACATGCACAGAAGTGGGCAGAAGCCACTATGAGTAGGGCCCAGACCTGCTTCCTGCACGGGGTCCAGCCACCTGCTGAAGCAACACTTTCCCAGGGACCCTAAAAGTGGCCCCATTATCTGATCTGCTTTTCGTGAGTGGAGATGCTGTGGCATGGATGGGAGGTCACGGCATGGACGTAGGTCTCAGGCAGAAGGGGAGCGGGGAGGAACAGGGCAGCAGCTCTAGGCATGGATGGTGCTGACTTGACTCCCCACCACTGCACTCACAGGCAGGTTCCGACACGGCCCTGTTCGTGGACTTGTGGGAGCTCCTGGAGGACACAGATGGTGAGGGGCTGGCATTGAGGCCTGGGGTGCTGGTGTCCAGCGTGTTAAAGTGCGGCTGGGGGTCCAGGCTGGAGTCCTTGTCCTGAAACACAGAGCCCTTGGGTCCGGCACCAGTGTCTGGACAGCAACGCGGTGTACTCTCTCATTGTCTGGACAATGTGGGCGCTGTTGGGACAGACCCCTGGCTCTCTGGGGACAGTTCTAGACAGCTGGAGGAAGAGCGTGTACCTGATAACCTGACCGAGGGTCAGGGCTAAGTTGCTAAGTTGCTCAGGCTGGGCTGGAACTTGTGATTCTCCTGCCTCAGCCTCCTAGTGTGCTTGAGCTCACTTTGTAGCCCAGGCTGGTCTCAGACTCACAAAGATCTTCCTGTCTCAGTCTCCTATGTGCATCACAGCCGGCTTGCAGTCATTCTTTCTTTGTTTCTTTGTTTCTTTCTTCCTTCCTTCCTTCCTTCCTTCCTTCCTTCCTTCCTTCCTTCCTTCCTTCCTTCTGGTGTATGTGTGACATTGGGGACTGAACTCAGGACCTTTACAGTGACCTACATTCCCTGTCTGTCTTTGTTTGTTTCTTTCTTTGGTGCCTGGGGTAGAACTCCTGACCTTGTGCTTGCCAGGCAGGTGCTATGCTATGCCACTGAGCTACATCCCAGCCCCATTTCCAGTTTTTAAAAACATTTTTTAAAATTTGAGACTAAGCTACCCTGGCTGGACTCCACCTCACAATCCTCCTGCCTCAGCCTCCCGGGCTCCTGGGAAGACAGGAGTGTTTTACTAGAACTCATGCCAGGCTCCGCCCAGCTGGCCTCTGCCCGCACCCACTGAGTCGGGAGCACTAACCTTCAGCACAGAGGGGTGCAGGGCCTCTGGCGGCGGCGGTGGTGGCGGCGGCGGCGGGTCTTCCAGGGCCAGGTCCTGTCTCCTTTCCAGGAGGACATCGGCGTAACTGCTTGAGACAGCGGAGAATACACTGAAGGGCCTGGGGCACGGTGGAGCGCTCCCCTGCTCCCCCACCCAGAACAGCACCCCGATCGCCAGCTGCCCAGCCTGATGGGGGTTTCCCTCCTGTTGATTCTCTCGTGACCCCAGGACACCCCTGTTTCCAGGGTGTTCTCAGTCCCCTCTCTCTACTGTTCTATCCGCCCCCCAAAATCTTCAAGCACAGTTGTCTCTAGGAGCAGTTTCCTCAGTGGCACAGGCTCTGCCTCGGCATCAGCAGATGCTGTCCTAGATGCCAAGTTCCTCGAGCAGTACCATGTCACACTGCTCAAAAAGCTTCTCTCAGACACACCTAGAACACACCAGACCCGGGAGCCGGTCAGGGACAGGTGGCCTTGGCCTGCCAGCCGTGGGAGAGGCTCCGAGGTGCTGGGATTACAGTGTACAGAGGACATGTTTGAGTTATTCAGAGGCAGTGTTTCAGTTTTCTTCTCAAAACAGTTCAGGGAAGGCCGGGGGAAGGTCAGGGAGAAAAGGGAAAACACGTATGAAGGTCAGGGAACAAGAACTTCCTAAGTGATGTCCTGGCTGTTTAACAGAGCTCCCGAGGCCCGCAGAAGGGCTGGACCAAGAACCCCAAGGAAACCCACGTCCTGGTTAAACGGGGCTGCGCGTGGACCCGGGCCAGGGCTCCAGGCCGGCTGCTGCCCCCAGCCAGGGCCCGCCCAGCGCGGTACCTGACCACCGAGTGCGTGCACACGATGAACTCGGGCTTGGAGTTCCACTGGTGGTAGGTGATGTAGTAGTGGGTCTGCAGCCAGATCCACTGCTGCCCTTTGGTCAGGAACCGGTAGCAACACGACTTTCCTTTGCCGAACTGCATCACTGTGGGTGGACAACAGACTGCGTGTGACCTGGGCTGCTGCAAAGCCAAGCTCTCCCTCTCTGGTTACGGCCGAAAGCCATGCTGAAAACCGCAGGCCCTGAGCGGCTTATTTCCCGGTCGTGAGCTGTCAGGTGATTGGCAGAGCCATGGTGAATGCCAGTGCTTCTGTATTTGTGGCACTGGGCCGGGCCAGCACACTAGGCCTAAGCAGCACCCCAGCCAAACACTTATAAGACAGAAGCATAATCCATGTCCTTTTCCAAATGCTCAGAATCGAAAGAGATCTTTCCACAAGGGAGGATGTGGACAGAGGTTAGAGCTGCGGGTTTCCTTAATTACAGAGGCCCCGGTTTTCTTAGGGCTTGTCTGTCCTCAGGCTGCAGGAGTGCGGCTGCAGGAGGAGGCCGGAGAGCCAGCAGTCTATGACTCTGTTACAGGGCTGTACAATAGTCTGGTTCAGACCTCTGGCCCCTGGCCTACAGGCCCCTGGGTTGTGTGATTGCAATGGTTGATAAATTGTGTCAACTTGAGAAGTTTAGAAGTTTAATGAGCTACTCACCAGGGGCCAGGGCCCACTTTGTAAACATCCTCATCCTGTGAAGAGGAGGCACAGAGGTGGTATGAGTGGGGCACCTGTCCTGGGGGAGGGGTGGCCTGTGTACAGCATAAGGGAGAAGAGGGTTGCACTTCTCCTTTGGCTCTTGTTACTTTTGCAGTCTTTTGCCGCCTTGAAGTGTTGCCCCTTATCTATGCCACCCTGCTTTGGAGCCAGCTGATTACTGACTGGAACTTCCACAAACTGTGAGCTAAATAAACATTTTCTCCTTTTATCTTTGGGTGTCGGCTATTTTGTCCCAGCAATTAGACAAAAGTAACTAAAACAGGTGGATTCTCTGGGGTGCCCTGATTCTTTACACCCTGAGCATAATCTCTTGGCCTGAACAGTTTTGCTCTGCTAAAAGAGTCAGATGCAGCCATGAATTTAAAGCAGTTATGCTTTTTTGTTTTTGTTTTTTAAGACAGGGTTTTGTTGTGTAGTTTGGATTAGCTTAAACTCACTGTGTAGGCCAGACTAACCTCGAACTCAGCTAGCTGTCCTCCTGCCTCAGCCTCCCGAGTGCTGGCATGACAGGTGTGTGCTACCCTGCCCAGCCATAAAGCAGTTACACTTTGCAATTGCGAATCCTCATGAATCACTCAGGATTCTCATGGAAGCAGATATCCTGACTCTAGGCCTGGTGCAGGGGGCTGACCTACAGGTCTAGCAGAGCCCTGGTGTTCATGCAGCTAGCCTTCAGACCATACTTGGAGGGACAAGGCGTTAAAGGTTCAAAGATGAGCCTTAAATTCTGACAGCTGAACCAGCCAGATCTCCGGCCCCTTCTTCCATTAACAAGGACAGTGGACTGGAAAGTCCTAATAGTCCCTGAACAAGGCATCTACCAGGGTCCAGGGTTCAAGGTCCATTCATTCATGAAGCCCAGTGAGTCCACATGTGTTCCGGTTCAGAGCTAAGAGCTGGCACTGAAAATGCAGCTTTTTGCCTGATTTTTTTGTTTTTTGTTTTTGAGACAAGGTCTGACTATGTAGCCCAGGCTGACCTTAAACTTACAGGGACTCTGCCTCAGCCTCCTGAGTACTGGGATTATCAGGGTGTAGCCCCTGCCTGGCTGGAAATACAGCTCTGAGTGGTTAATTCTTGACACTTCTTTAGATAAGAACTGGAGAAATGTGTCATTCTTACTCCCCCATATCATGAGCCCTATGACTCCCACGTTTGGCAGTGTGTCCTCTCTCCTGTGACCCAGGCGTTGGCACGAGCTGTTCCCCTGTGCCCACAACATCCTGTGCACCTGCATGGCCACCTGGTTCTGGATTTCCCAGCAGAGGTGGCTGCAGCAAAGCACAACAAGACATGGCTGGTGCCAATCCTCGTCACCTCATGCCACTGAGAACCCTGAGCTTGGAAACTCAAGCTGTGGAGGCCACTGGTGAGGGGTGCGTGGGATCCACAGAGAAGGAAGCCCAGCACCTGGCTGGTGCGTGGTGACCGCTACCTGTCCGCCCGCTAAGGAATGGGCATTTTGTCATTTAAAATGTTTCACGCGGCCTCAAAAACGATTCCCAGCGTCCTCATGGTTTCTCACAAGAGTTAGAGAATGTCCACACGGATGACACTTAGAAGTCAGTTCCAGGTTAAAATCGGACAGTCATGAGGCCTCAACCTCTGCCCCGTGCCTGGCACACTGCGCTGCATGGGAAACTGAGTCTCAGCTCAAGAGGAGGCAGGCAGAGAGCAGACTGCAGGCCACACAGCCCCAGGGAGCACACAGGCAGTGCAATGCCCGAGCTGGGCGAGCGGTACTCACAGTGCTGGTGGCACTTGGCCAGGAGCTCCAGGTCGTCGATGTGGTAGTAGTCATAGCCCGAGGTGCCGAGCACTTCAAAGGGCAGGTATCCTATGATCGGAGGGGCTCTGTAGGATGAAGGTGTCAGTCATCCGAGAAGTCACTAGGCTGGCGCGATGTCCACACATGGGGTTGGTGGCATGGTTTGTGACCCACATGGAGGGAAGGGGCTCATCTCCCAGAAAGCAGGGGAGGAAAATGCATCTCAGTGATCAGACCCCAAGATGCCGTGTTTTCCAAAGGGCTTCACTGAATGGGCCACTTAGCACTCCGATCCCTGGGTTGGAGTAAGATCAAACTCATTTCTACTGAGTAATTAAAAGCTGCTATGGACCAACTGGGCCAGTCCATGGCCGAGAGCAGTGAGGGGCCGGAGGGGAGATTTTCAGCTCTTCGGCTATGAATAATGTTGTAAAGGAAAGAAGAGAGACGGGGCTGAAGGACTAACGGGGTCAGGAGAAATCAGAGGAAAGATTTCTTTTCCCCTCTGCTTCTGCCTCTCTGGGGATTGGGGGGAGCCCAAGTGGGGATCATCTCAGAGGTGCCTCAGGCCGGGGCCCTGACCTGAACATACAACCTGCACAGGATAAGGAGGTGCGTGGGAGAGAGCCCGTGTCCCCTAGGCTGGGGACCACTGCCCCCCAGGACGAGGACATCCTTATGTGTCCCCAGGCCAGGCTGGACTCTCCTCCCGGGGAAGCCTGGCTCATACAAACCAGCACTTGAAAAGGACCCAACCCAGACATGTTTTTCTTTTCACGAACCTGTGATCCAGAAATAAAAATTTCCATTCCAAGCTATGCCTTGAAGTGAATTCCTCTAAAGGTTCATCGATGATGCACATTTCCTGTATGGGAAGGGAAAACAGAAGGTCGCTTTGGAGCACCAGACGCTCGCCCCAGTCAGGGTACAGGTGGGGAACAGAAGCTGGAACTGCTCCCCGCCGGCCTCCTTGCTGAAACGTCATCCATAGCTAATTTCGGTATTAGCTAGTACTAAATTTACTTCCTAGGCTGGGGGAAGATACCTAGGAGCCAGCATGTCACACCACTCCCTTCCCATTTTCTGGAAGTGTGGCACACACAGGAAACAGCTTTTCATCTGAATGAGTCACTCGGTTAACTCTCCACACTCATGCCAGAGAGTGAAGCAGTGGCCTAAGAGGAGGACGAGGAATGCTCTGTTTCTGGACACTCAGAGTTCACCCAGGCTTCGAGCGTCAGGGCTTGGAGCATGGAGAGCTCCGGGCACCCAGCACCTCTGCAGGCTGAGCTGCCTTCAAATAAAAGAGCAGGAAACCCAGGCAGGGGACAGGGCAGGTGTGGCTGGCACAGAAACGATCACAACAGGGTACTTCTCTCCCATGACAGAAAATGAATGCCAGAATCAGATGTGGCCCTGCAGCAGACTCACCTTTAAGAACTGCGGCGTTGCCAGCCGGACGGTGGCGATGAAGCAGACCTCCTCTCCCAGTGGCAGCCGGCAGGGTCTGGACAGGGTGTTGTCAAAGCCGTTACAAGAGGGGCTAGGCACTGGGGGTGGGGACACATAGGTTAGACCTGCTGGGTACTGCAGCCGTCAACTCCTCCCGGTATGGGGACAAGCCAGACCCTGCTCCCGGGGCTACAGGGACGCTGGGTGATCAGATTTAGCTTTCTACCAAGACTTCTTAGGGTAAGAGGTGCGTTGCTGTGAATGCCTCACTGTGACTCCACTGACGCCCCAGCCTTGCCACTTTCTGCAGCAGCTCCGGAGTCCTCTTTCCTGTGTGTCACTACGAGATGGCACCGGAAGTGCAGTGAGCACTATGGTCGCCTGTTGCCCACAGGAAAGACAGCTCGAGACAGCACGGTGCTGTGTCCTCGTTCACCTCACTCAGGTCCCTGGGCGCTGGGCGGCCTCCGCATCCCCAGTCTCAGAATGAGCGGGAGAGGTCAGTGCTGTGCACCGATTCAGGACTTCAAGGCAGCCTCGAGGACGTGGCTAAAGGAGCTCACTATGGAGGACGTCCAGAGCTGCTGCAGAATGTGGCAGGGGCGTGGGAACAAGTGTGTGTGAAGCCAGGGGGACGATTCTGGGAGGTTAGTGGTAACGGAAAAAAATTTTAAACTGTAAACATTTATTGCATTTAAAAAAAATATTTTGTCTATGAACCCATTTTACTCTTACAATCACTGGATGAGGTAGGTGGGGCTCCTGGGCTTCCGCCTTGGAACTTGGCCTCAGGAGCCCAGACTGATGTGGGCAGGGCTCAGCCTCTGAGAAGGTGGCCTTAGGATTCAGGGTGCTATAACTTGGACATAAAATGTCCCCAAGGCTTGTGTGATGAAGACCCAGTTTCAGGCTTGGCCCTCCAGGGAGGTAGGGAATTGTGAAGCGCTGAGCCAGAGGGGTGGTGTGAGGCCCTTGGGCCCTTGCCTGGCTGCAGCCCTCATCTCTCCTGCGCTCTCTTTCATGCCCTGCTGTGCAGGGAACAACTGTGCAATGCCATGCACCCTCTGCCACAGCGCATGGACTTAAAGAACCCAGGGCAGTGGACCACAGATGGAAGCCACTGTGCGCCAAAATAAACCTTTCAAGTCGGCTGTCACAGGTATTTTGTATAGGCATCCCTAGAGGTACATGGTGTCCACACATCATACAAGAGACCAAGGCTGTTCCCGGGTGACCTCCTGTCCTTCCTCACAGTCTGGGAAGGCTTGATGGCCTACCCATTAGACATGAGGAAACAGAGACATAGAGAGGGCCTGGCAGTGAACTAAGGTCACTCGGAGTGGAAATAACGTGGCAGGGGACACAGTGAGTAGAACGGATTGGCTGGGGGTCAGGAAATTCTGCTGTCTTTGGGTGGAGCTTAGTGGGTGAGGAAAAGAGCCTGTGGCCTCCACATGTATGGAACCTTGGGCTCATGCGACCCATGCTCATGGGACCTCTGCCCTGGCTGCCTGTGCCCACCGACCGGGTCACTTGGAAAGCACAGGGGCTAGGCCAAGCAAGGCACTGTCTAATCCTCTGCAGGCCACCAGGAATCCATGCTACCTTCTTTTTTGAAATGTGGTTGATTACAGTTGGCCTTTCATTTCCAAGAGTTCTGCGTCTGCAGACGCTGGCAACTGCAGATGGGACATATTTGAAAAAGAGAAACTGCGGGGGCTGGGGATTTAGCTCAGCGGCATAAGCGCCTGCCTTGCAAGCAGGCAGTCGTGAGTTCAATCCCCAGTACCAATAAAAAAGGAAAAAGACAAAAAAAAAAAAAAAAAAAGAAACTGTAGGGCTTTTTTCCTCCTCATTATTCCCTAAACAATGCAGTACAGTGCCTTTTTACATAGCACCTGCACTGTGTGATAAGTCATCCAGAGGTGGTTTAACATATATGGAAGTGCCTAAGAGATATCACATCATTTGTGGAAGGGATCTGATGGCACTGGTGCTTTGGTACCCTGGGGGCCGAGAACCCCTCTCCCGTGAACTGGGAGGCCTGTACACACTCAACTCACAGATTTAAATGCAGTTTCATTTTTTAATCTCGAGTGTCAGAAAACTAAACACATTAGATGCAAGACTGTCTTTATATTTTAGCTCTCTGATCTTCTTTATTTTATGTTTACAGGTCCCAAAATGATTCCATAATGTGATCATCTCTCTGCTAAATTCATCAGACCACACATATTCCCTGAATTCATTCACGCAAATACCAATAAATATAAAGTGGGTAAAATCAAAAAAAAAATAGTGGCCTCTAGAGAGTTTACATCTGTCATTGTTGACTTGGACTGCTGAAGATTAATTTGTAGGGCGAGCCAAGACATTTATCAAGGGAAAGGAAAACAATTCCACATAAGGGAAGGGCCTGCAGATGTGAACATCTGTGTCATTACCAAAAGCCATTTTTAAAGTTTCCCAGATGTGAAATACCCTCTGCTCGAATCTCAGAGACATTACCCGGCCAGATAATGATGAAGTCTCCTGACAATCCTGGAATACCCAGACCTTCCAAGCAAACCTCTGAAGACTGTGGGAATTTAAGAGAAAGCCCCGAACTGTCTCTGCACTGTGTGGGGTGATCGACCCTTCGCCCACCACTTCAGGGGCTCCATGACCGGGGCTTCCTGCTGATTTGTAGCACAGGAGAAGGGTGATGACATGGGAGCTCCAGCTGCCTCTCTCTTCTACTCTAGAGGCGCAGAGACAGGACTGCACTGTGGTCACTGCTTATGCTCAGCCTGGCCTCCTGCTGGGGTCATTTATCTGTTGTTTTGTAACTTCAAATGCTTCAAAGATGAAAACACACCCGCAGAAGGGAAGGGAAGTTTCCTTATTGCTCGAAGCCTGCTCTGATCAGCTAGATGCTTCACAGATGGGTCCACACCCGGCCGGCTGCTTCTCTAACAAGGGAAGGGCCTTTCGAGTCTCAGGGCCTGACTCCGGCCACCAGACAGTAAATCGAGTGTGAATGTTTCAACCAAGGCCAAGGGGAAAACCCTGTGTGAACCGAGGGGAGGGAGCTGTGCCAAACACCTGGCCAGCTGCCTCTGAAAGGACTTTATCCATGGCTCGTGCATTGGTTAGGGTTCCAGAGTCACAGGCCGGGAGCAGACTGTGCCCCAAGACTCCATCGTTCTATTTAGCACTTGAAATGACTCTCTGGCACTTTGCATCCCAAGGTAGTTTAAAGCCATTAATTAAGGATTCAATTAGAAGTTGCAGCATAAGTAACAGAAAAATGTGTATTTATTGCTCCTGGCGCCCTTGGCCTCTCGGAAGGATTCACCACTAAACCCGGAGCAGATGCTAACTCCGACCCCTGACACACAGGGAAGGGATGCTTGCTGGCCACAGCTCCCCCACAGACTCTCCTCACTCAAAGCTAAAAGCTAAGTCGGTCGCCTTTCCCTGTGTCAGGTGGGATCACGGGAGGCTCTCTGTTCCCATCTCTGAGCGGTTGGTCTGCATACAGCAGGTGTTCAGCATGTGCCCACTGGGTGAATCTCGCACAGGAGGACCTTCTGCCTCACATCCAAACCACAGCATGAGGCTCGGCTCAGAAACACACTTCTGATCCTTGTGCTTGGGACCCCAAAACAGTCTGTTGTCTTGTGTGGTGTGAGGTGGTCCAATGGTGGAGGATGGTTCTGGGCTTCTGGCACCTCTGTCTCACCTGCCCTCCAGAAGCCCAAAGCCTGGTCAGGAGGAGGCCAGCCGGGGCAGGGCGGCTGCAGGCTCTGTGCCCTGCATTCTCCACATGCGTATGGAAACAGTACAGGTGCCTTTGGTGGCTCTCATGTGGGTGACAAGAGTGTCTTAGTTACCTTTTTCCTGGCTGAGACAAATGCCCAGCACCCAAAGTGAAAGGACAAGAGGGTTATTCCAGCTCAGGTCGCAGAGCTGAGCCCATAGTCAGTTGGCTCCAAGGCAGAGGGGCAACAGTCCGGGCAGGGCAGGGAGAAGGTGGCAGAAGCAGAGTCAGCAGCCTGGCTTCTTCCTTTATACCCATCAGGCTACAGGCCTGCTGACTGGACGGGGCTTCCCAGGTGGGGCTTCCACACCCGGACCCTTAATCCCAGCATCACACCCTTAGCCCATGTTCTCACACAGTTTAGTCCAGCCAGTTCCCAAAGCCTCTCCTTTGAGAGCATGAGGTTTTGGGGGATATCTGGATACAAGCCATAATGAGCAGCATGGGGTCTTCATATCAAAATGTCCCACAGATTTTCAAGTCCTGAGCTTTTCGTGACAGTCTCTCTTTTCAGATCCCCTGAAAGAGTTTTGCTTTGGGCTAGTGTTCTCAGGATCCCCAGGTTCTCTGGAGACCCAGGATGAATAAAACCTGCTTCATGGGGGTGCACCTGAGAGGCCAGCTTCCAATTCTGTTCCTCGACAAAGACGAGTCCTCAGTTGGTCCTGATGTGGGGACACCAGATGACTGCAGGGGCAGGGAGATCTCCATGGTGAAAGAACTTATTTCAGAAGTGGTCAGAAAGAAGGCACAAACAGAGGGCGACTGCAAATGTTAGCTAACAGCAAAGCACAGACAGTGAGATGGAGGGACTGGCCCTGTTCCACAGGCTCCAGGCTCAGCCATCAGACAAATAGATGTGCTCATCGGAGACAGCCTGCTGATGACAAGTACATTCCAACAGCTATGGAAAAGCAGACGAGTGACCTGTAAAAGTGAGGGCTTTCTCGGCGCTTTCCCTGGAAAAGGGAGCCATGAAAACGATAGGTGTCTGGAAAAGCTGGAATAATGAGTGCAGATGGAAGCTCCTAAATCCCAGCTATCACATGCATCGGACACACCCAAGCTAGAGTTCTGCCACTTTGAAGGGAAAAGGATTTCTGCGGAGTTGTTCTGTGTTAATCAAGTGCTTATTTCGGCCTCCTTCTTCCTGGCCTGGGCGCTGCCCTCCTCCCCGCCATTTGCTTCCCTCTTGGTTGCTTCCTGCCAGTTCTATTTAGCAGAGGGGAGCCATGTGGCAGAAAGGGTGAGAGCCACCCCAGAAGGCTGCACTTTGCTGTATGGAACAACAAATTA